TGTGAGATGTGCTGGAACAACAAATCCAATTCCCAAAACTGAATACAAGGGAATGCTCCAAACTCCCGAACTGCATACAAGGGAATGCTCATAACTCCCGAACTGCATACAAGGGAATGCTTCAAACTCCCAAACTGCATACAAAGTAGCACTCCAAACTCCCGAACTGGAACCTCACGAATAGCTGCTAGCAGACGAACAGGAAAAGCACCCAAGCGGCTTACACGCCTAGCAATCAGTCTCTATCAGCATACAGTAAACCCCCCAAGAACGAGACAGAGCTCCGTGTTGTGGGTCAAGCAGTGGTGTGTTTAATGAGGGCTACCTGCCCAGTATTTATGCAGGTCTCCCACCTGGTTGACACTCCCCTAGGGGACCAAATGGGAGACTGTGGCAAAGGACAGGCATGAACCAATGACAGACACACAGAGGTAAAACCTCCCCACAATGCATCCTAACTTCCTTCCCTCTGTCCTGGAGATAATTGGGAAGTAATCCAATTATCTCCCAGGACAGAGGCAAAACTCCATTAACCACATGGTTACAGTAAAACACTAAAACACAATAAAATAAACAATATTACATTTATCACACAAAATATATACTTGCAACCCATCCCCAGATAGCTGGGATCTGAGCGCACAAAAGTACCGAATAGCGCTCAGATCCTATGCACACAGTCCAATCGCCGTGGAGTTAAAGTGTTCCTAAAGTCTGTTCTCCATACGAATAGACTCCATAGGATGGCTATCTGGGGTAATGCTGTTCATACGGTTTAAACTACCGAATGAACAGGCATTCGGTTAACTGACTGAATGCAGAAGCAAGGAGGCTGACGGCTCAGCGGTGTTCGCGCAAATAAGTGTCAGTTTATAGTTCCACAGTTTGGGCGCTGAACACCGCTGGCCATTCGGGACTTTAAAATGGCCACCGCCACGTGTTTGGCAACCGAACAAAGGCCACCCAGCATTCGTCAATTAAGCTGCGGTTAACCGCAGCTTCTGGGAGGTTAATTGCCGACACACTCCAGCTCCCAGGTGGTCCAGTCATTCGTGCGTTAGTTCGGTAGATTGAATCTACCGACCGCCGGGCAGAAAGGCACAAATAAGCCTTTTCTGCAGGGGAAAATAAGTCTTTTAACATGGGGCCATAATCCAAAGGCAACAGGCGAGCAACCAGGCTTCTCCAATGCAATGTGGCGAGATTGCTCTCGTCACAGCAGTCATATGCCTTCTGAAGTGCCATTTTTCCAAGCTAAAGAGATATAATTGGTAAATTAGCTCTATTCCATTTAGCAATTTTGAAACCCGTCTCTGCATTTTTTTTAGTGCCTTCTTTAGAACAGGTGCCCAAAATGGCACAGCATATTCAAGCTGTGTAACTGGAGATAAGGTGATTGCACACACATTGGTAGCTCATTTTCTTGTTTTTAGCATACAGTACCTAGGTTCTGTAAATACAAAAAGCCAACATAGGACAATATGTATAAACATAACAAATAAGATAAACAAACTTGTAATATTTAGAGCCCATATAAGTCAACTCTAAACTGCAACAGCAGGTACATAAATCAGATGTTGAGATAGAGATGTATGGTCAGGTCCCCCAGAAGGTGTTGAAATTCCTCTGTGTGGTAAATCAGCAACCAGGTAGGTAAAAAGTAAATACTTTTATTTAACAACATAAAGGCACAACACGTTTCGACCTTGTAGGAGTAGGTCTTCCTCAGGTGCATGTAGGGCAGCATACGAGCAAATGCTTTTATATACATAAAAACATAGAATGTGACGGCAGATAAGAACCATTCGGCCCATCTAGTCTGCCCAATTTTTAAAAATACTTTCATTGGTCCCTGGCCTTATCTTATAGTTAGGACAGCCTTATGCATATCCCACGCATGCTTAAACTCCTTTACTGTGCTAACCTCTACCACTTCAGCTGGAAGGCTATTCCATGCATCCACTACCCTCTCAGTAAAGTAATACTTCCTGATATTATTTTTAAACCTTTGCCCCTCTAAGTTAAGACTATGTCCTCTTGCTATGGTAGTTTTTCTGCTCATGTTCCGCCGGCTGGTGGGGGACATGAAAGGGGCAAGGAAGGTAACGCTGAGGGGGCTGCAGTCCCTATTGGGCAGCCTCAATTTTGCCTGTAGGGTGATACCCATGGGTTGGGCCTTCTGCAGGCTGATGGCACGGGCGACGCAGGGAGTGCGATCGCCCAACCACTTCATCACGGTGACCGCAGCCATGAAAGAGGACTTGGTGGTTTGGGAGCGTTTTTTAAGGGATTTTAACGGGTGGGTCTTCTACTGGGTTCCGGCTGCATCATCGGCAGACATCGGTCTATTCACGGACGCGTCAGGGAGCATAGGCTTTTGGTCATATCTGGCAGGTAGATGGTGCGCGGAAGTATGGCCTAAAACGTGGAAGACAAGTCTGCTGATCGAGAACCTAGTGTTTCTGGAATTCTTCCCGGTGGTTCTGTCAGTGGCGTTGTGGGGGGAGGAGCTTGAGAACAAGATGGTAATATTTTATTCTGACAATATGGTGGTGGTACAGGAGGTTAATAGCTTGACGGCTTCTTCCATACAGGTGGTGCGGCTGCTGCGACGCTGCTATGTATGACATTTAACGTTGTGTTTCAGGCACGTCACGTGCCCGGGTACTTGAATGTTGTGGCTGATTTGTTGTCTCGTTCACAATGGGAACGTTTTCGGGAGGCGGCAGCGGAAGCACAGAACGAAGGACAGGCGTGTCCAGTCGAAATGTGGCGGCTCGGGACATCCTGCTTGGGAGACACCGGGCACATGGGCGTCTTACCTTAAGGTTTGGAATGAATGGGATGAGACGGTGGAGCAGGCTGGAGTAGAGCGGTCACCAGGTGGCAGGCTGGATGCCCTCCTATGAATCCTGTGTCGGCTGTTCGCGAAGATGGCATCGCCATCCATGATTGATCGGTACTTGATCGGTACTTGTCAGCGATGGCATTTTTGTTTAAGTTCAATGGTTGGGAGGAAGTGACAAAACATTTCCTAGTTCGCCATGCGCTTTGGGGCTTCCGGAAGGGGAGAACGTCAGCGGACACTTGGAGACCGGTCTTGTTTGATGTCCTGCAGGGGATGTTGGGAGTTTTATCGGTGGTATGTTCCTTTCCGTATGAGGTGGCGTTATTCTCAGTGGGCATTTTTCGGAGCCTTCCAAATCGGGGAGTTGGTGAGTTCCAACCAATCGGGTCGCGGTGGGATTCGGTGCAAGGACGTGGTGGTTAGAGAGGAGCGAGTGTGGATCCACCTGGGTCGCTCCAAGACAGATGTCTACGGTAAAGGCTGCTCCGTGGTGTTGTTTTCTCTGCCAGGGTTCAGGGTCTGCCTGGTCTACTGAGGGGCTAGCTTTATGGGTCTGCGGCCCAGGGTGGCAGGTTGTTTCTTAATCCATGGGGATGGTTCGGCACTGTCTCGGTTTCAGTTTACTCGGGTGTTCCGTATGGGTCTCCGGAGACTGGGTTTGGACCCAATGCAGTTTGGGATGCACTCATTCAGAATTGGGGCAGTGACAGAGGTGACGCGCCTGGACTTGGGAGATGAGCAGATTAAAAGGATAGGGAGTTGGGAATCTACTCGGTTCGGCTCATATCTACGGCTGGACTTGTTGGTTTAAATGGGTGCAGGAAGCAGGATGGTTGCTGTTGTGTTGCTGTTTCTATGTTTTGTTTCTTTCTAGGTTGGACAGCCTGGCTGGTGGGGCACTCATTTGTCTATTGGGCACAGAGGAGGGCCGCAGTTCGGAAACAAGGGGCACAACTGGTTTTACTCAGGAGACTGTGTCATTGGTTTGGCTGGGCATTCGGGGTTACACCTGGCAAAGCATTGTTGGGGAGATGTTTCGGAGGATAGCACAGGGGGCCACCTCTGATATGGTGTTGATTCATGGTGGGGGGAATGATTTGGGTCTAGTTCCCCAGAGAGAGTTAGTCCGGTGGATGAAGAGAGACGTGGACTGGCTGTGGGGGCTGGTCCCTGGTGTGGTGTGGTCGGAGATGGTGCCCCGGTTTAATTGGAGACATGCCAGGGTAAAGGCTGCAGTAGCCCAATGCCGGGGAAAGGTCAATAAAGCTATGTCGGTTTTCATTCGTAGATTGGGTGGTGTGGCATGCTCCCCGGGTATTTTAGGAAAGATGGGGTGCACCTGTCAGATGTGGGGTGCTATTTCCTGAACCTGGGTTTTCAGGAGAGTATCATCAGGGCTCTGTTTTCCTGTGGTGGGGGGCGCCCATGAGCTTTAGGAGTCAAGTCATGTGCTGTGGCGGGGAAGGGCTAGGATAAATGGGAAGTAGGTGGAGTATGAAGTGGTCATGGCAAGGTTTAGGCTGGAGTAGGCTGGAGTGGTTCAATTGGTTGGTAGGTTCGAGCTCATCTGTGGCTCCGAATCTGGGGGTGTAAAGGGTGTCTCTGTACAACCCTACAAGTTAAACAGTGGTTATGGGACCTCTTTGGTAGGCCGTGTGTTATGTTATATGTTATTTATACTGTTATTTATTGTTTATTGATATGGGGTCATTGCCAGGGGTAATTATGTACGGAGGGGGACTGTATTAAAGTATTATTATTATGTGGCAATGACCCCAATGTGTTAATTTATGTTTAATTAAATAAAGCTGTGGACAAAATATTTCCAACAGAGAAATGGTGTCTGTGTCCCATTAAAGGTCTGTGTGGGGTTATAGCACATGCCGAATAACGACTGTGCACATGTCAAGAGTTTTGTGTCATCTGCAAACACTGAAACATGGCTTTCAATGCCTATTTCAAAATAATTTATAAATATATAGATATATTAAACAGAGGTGGTCCCAGAACAGAACCCTGAGGGACACCACTTTTCACTTTTGTCCAGCCTGAAAATTTACTTTTAACGACAACTCTCTGTACTCTATCCTTAAGCCAGTGTTCGACCCAAGAACAAGAATTTTCATCTAGACCAATTTATTTGGTTGAGATAATTTAATATAAGGATATTAGACGCAATGTGAATAACATGTTTATTAGCACAAAAGAAAAAACATGAATGTTGATATGTGCCTATTGATTGATTTTGGAAGAAGATATCTTATTTTTCAGGTAACTCGTCAGTTCTTATGTAAAGGTTTTTGAAGTTCATCTTCTGATGGAAATTCATAGGTGGATTCGTCTTTGCTCATAAAACTTCTGGCAATCACAGAGTATCTCGACAAACACAAAACACATTTTCTCCTGAGACAACATTTTGGAAAACAATTGCAATTTTTCATTGTTCTTGGGATAGGCTGCAGAAAAAATATGTACATTTTTATTGAAGTCAGTAATTAGATCAATTTTGGGCACTTAACAGAGAAACCAATGGAACTTGTCTGCCGATTGGTCGGAAGATATAATCTTAATATATTGGCATGTTGGGATGCTGCAACATAAGTCTGCCTCCATAGCAACGCCCCCTCATTCCAAAAAAATACTTCCTTATTAAATGTATGTACACTGCTCAGCCACTGACAATACTGAGTGTGCTACATTTAATTCACAACCTATGAAATCAAGAGGGCTGCACTCACCTGAACATGCATATATTTTAAGGCTGCTGCTGGGCCAATGTATGCAACATACAAGATCCAGTGTACTCACTCATTTATAACACACCAAAGCTTACAAGATGTAATAGTTTCTTTCCCGTGTTTTTTTTTCTAAAAACACATAATCTAGGCACACACAATAGGAGTTTATTTGCAGTATAGGAACATACATAAGCCTGCCACAATAGCTTTGATGATGGTGTTTTATGAATGAGTGAGTGCGCTGCATCCTGTACAGTGGTGTACTAAGGGGAGGGCAGGGGGTGCAGTCCTCACCGGGTGCCATCAGGCAGGGGGGTGCCACCAGGGCTGGCCAGGCTTGGGAGTCAGTGAGCTGTGTGGCTGCACTAGGTGCCATAGCAGCAGGGGCACCGGGAAGCCGACACAGCTCACACACGCAGGGGCTGGGAGCAAGCAGGAGACCTGCACGGAGATTTGGGGGCAGGAGTCCCTGCTTCCCCAACTTCAACACAGGAGGCACTGAATGAATCCACTCCTCCTCCAGTCCAAACTTACTGTAAGTGAAAGAGTGTGTGCTGTGTGTAACTGTGATTGTGACTGTCTTTGACTGTGTGTGTGATTGTGTAACTGTGATTGTGACTGTTTTTGACTGTGTGTGTGAGTGTGTAACTGTGATTGTGACTGTCTTTGACTGTGTGTGTGATTGTCTGCCTATGTGTGTGTGACTGCCTGTGATTGTCTGTGTGACTGTGTGTGTGGTTGTCTGCCTGTGATTGTCTGTGTGTGTGTGTGACTGTCTGCCTGTGTGTGTCTGTGTGCGTGTGTGTGTGACTGTCTGCCTGTGATTGTGTGTGTGTGTGTGACTGTCTGACTGATTATGTGTGTGTGTGTGACTGTCTGCCTCTGATTGTGTGTGTGTGACTGTCTGTGATTGTGTTGTGTCTGCCTGTGTGACTGTCTGCCTGTGATTGTGTGTGTGACTGTCTGTTATCTATTAAACAACTGGAAATGAGAAAAGGGCTTTATTTTAATCCTTTAGCTGATAATTCCCTGAATTAGTGCCCGTATGTGAGATTTCCATATTTAAAGATACCAAATGACGGTGCTGTTTAGCAGATATCTCTCTTATTTGATGTCCTTAAATATGGCAATCCCACAAAGGATAGCAAATAGAGGAGTTATCTGCTAAACAAAGATCGAAATTAAGAGGTATCAGCCAGCCCACAACAAGAAATCTGGGTGGCTAATTTCTTCCCTGTTCTATGTTACATTTTGTATTTATTGTGTATTAATATTGTTTTTGTATTTTATTGTACCCTAATGTAACAATGCAATGATTTGTGGACCCAGGACATACTTGAAAACGGTAAAATATTTTATAAATAAATAAATAATGTGAATTATATGTAAATGTGTAGTCAGATGCCAGCATGCAGAACACAGCATGCTGGCATCAGACAGCCAATGGCAGCATATTAACCCATCCCCTAGTGAAAAGTTTTACTGCTCCCCCCCGTTTTGACTGTGGTATCTTATGTGCCCCCCCACCATATATATTGTTCCTAGAGTCGTCATGATGTCTGCATGTGTGTCTGTGTGTGACTGTGTTTGTGTGTATATGTATCTGCATGTGTGTATGTCCGTGTATGTGTATATGTGCAGACATCTAAAAATCTCTCCAACACTACACACAAATACACTCATGCATTTCAACGTCAAAACCCCACCATTATATATAACCATACCACTGCATTCAAATACCACACAACACACAAATGCATGCTTGCATTAAAACGCCAACACTACATACAAACACACCGCTACATTCACTCACATATGCTCCATACAAAAACATGCATACATTCAATACATTCAAACACACAATCACTGCTTAGTGCTAAATACATTAAAAAAAATTGGGTTGTTTTTATATTTAAAGTTGAGGGGGATAGAAGGGGGGGGGGGAAATAGGACCGGCCCAGTTGCCAAATGCTCTAGATACGCCCCTGATCCTGTATGTTGTATAAGTTTGTCCCCAGCAGCACCCTATAATGTGTGCATGTTCAGGTGAGTGCAGTCCTCATGTTTCATACATAAATATATTAAGGAGTCTGGACCAACTCCCTGGTTTTGCACCCCTCCCTGTCACAGGTGCCTCATCTCAGGGTCCTATTTAACCTTGAACTGCAGAGAGTCCCAGGAGGAAGTATTTCCCAAGTAAGAGGATTAATCTCATAAGAGCAGGCATTAGGTTAGGCTGCTAGAATAGGAACTACCAAGAATGGGGTACATTGACACTGTTGTAGCCTTATACAATATATGATCATACAGTGTAACTAACGCTGCCCCCACCCCCCTGCCAATGTTCTTGTGTAGATTATGGTTTTTTTTGTTTTGTTTTTAAGTCTAAGACTTTTGAAGTTGCTGTTTAGTCTATGATCAAGTACGCTGGATCTGGTATGCTGTTTACAGTCAGATAAACTATTAGTCAGAGAAACACGTAATGATAGCCTTACTATATGTGTCCTCTCCTTCTAATGCAGCTTATTTTGTTGTCCAGATCAGTGCTGTCAGTGACTGAGCTGTGTACATACATCTGATAAGGAAGTATTTTGCTGGAGTGAGGGGGTGTGGCCAAAGAGGCCGGCTTATTGTGCAGCATTCTGGGAAAACATTGTTTTATGCAAAAAATATAGCATCTAAATTAGGGCTTAAACCTATGAAATGCATTAAAGTTGTATTGGTGTATTTAACCCATAATTGTAAATACCCTTCTTTGTGAATTGTGCACTGTTAAATATATTGAATAAATACTTTTATTTATTTATTAATAATAATAGTAAATTGTCCTCACTATTTGAAGGGTATTATTTGTGTCTTTTAGTTCATAGGTAGTAAATGGTCTATTGTTTTATATATATATATATTTTTTTTAAATTTTCTATGTAAAGCCATTTGATTAACCGTGTTCTTTAATTAAAATTGCTCTGTGAATAATGTAAAATACTTCTTAACCTTACTAAATGTCACTAACAGGGTTATTCACTAAAGTGAGAATTCAAAGTAGCCAGAAACTGAAAGGATGGCTAACTCAATAACCAGCCATTTTGGCATTAAATTTCAAATTCACATTGAATATGCACTTTATGATTAAAAGCCAAAGTGTTCTAAATTGGTAAGACTACTGATGCTGAGTGTGGCTCTCCTTGCACCGTAACCACTACATTGGCTAATCAGGCACAATCTATCTATCCATTACTTTGTTATAAACAGAGCTTTTAGGGCACCATATAGCAATTTTCCCATAGTGTATTGAAGAACATAAGCTTTTTGTGGATACATTTCGTGCATAACGAGTTCTCTATAAAGTGCTGTAATATACAACTGTGCACAGCAAAAAAAAATAAAAAATACTTTAGATTCACAGCTATTTGCAACTTATCTAATGGATTGAATGGCCAGATCACTGCTGACATGGCCTAACTTTCTCCAAGATAAAAATACACTATGAAACACCTACAGAAAAGACACACGCACAGCCTTCATAATAGAAAAAGGAGAACTTGTAAGAACAGTAATTGTTCCCCCAAATGTTGCCACCAACCCTTAGTTATGGTACTAGGTGACTGCTACAAGGCGTTACGGTATACTTACTATAATAGGTTCATGCTTGGCCTCCCGTGAATGGAAGATGGAGTAATCATCGTATTCCATGTCGTCGCTCACAGTGCTGGCTGTTGTAGGTAGATAAAATGGGGTTACCATGGAGAACACCCCAAGTACAAGGATAACAGTGACAAAGCTCTGCATGTTTGCTGAGTAATGCCGTGTCTGCTCCGTACACTCACATCTGCTTTTATACTGTTGGCGTTGCAATTCAGTTTTCTTGAGAATTAACTCTTAAATAGCAAACGTGGGAAACTTCTGTTAGGTCTTATAGACAGAATTACGATATGAACTTCCTGTATAATATTACATTCCACAGTTAGAACAAACATTCTCTAACTATCTCCAACATCATCTATTTAAAGAAAAGTAGCAAGAAACACTAGTAAACACTCCAAACACCATAACCATGCTGTAATATACAACTGTGTACAGCAAAAACAAATACTTTAGATTTACAGCTGTAAGGAAATTATATAATGGATGGATGAACAATATTATGTAGTGGTTATGGTACCAGCAGTGTCCTGGTACGAACAGACCACTCTCAGCCAATGAGCAAAGTCCTGCACTGCTTATCTCAGTGAAGAGAGCTTCTGTCTGTTACTGAGCTGTAGAAGAGGCAGGGAGGGCCTCCAGGTGGACTCCAAGTAAGAAGTTAAACTAATCTAAAATGGTTTGACTCCTTACATTAGGGTGGTACCAAGGGTATTCCTGGCACCTTAGGCAGAGAGCTGCAGTGGTTATGGTTCTTGGAGTGTTCCTTGAACTCCATCACTGGCTGACACCAGGTGACAAAATAACAAAAAGAGAGAAAGTAAAAAAAAAAATGTAACTGCCATTAAAACACCATAGTGCATGTTGAAACCTGACATTTGATTTTATCAAATTTAAATGAGCAAAAAAACAAAAACAATTACCTTCAAAGTTCCTAAACTTGTATGAAGTGATTTCCCCAATCACAAGTGACTCATTCTGATCCATGGATGGCAAACCCATCCCATGAACCTCTTTCGTGCAGGGTTTGATCCATGGAGGGTAAACCCATCCCATGAACCTCTTTCGTGCAGGGTTTGATCCATGGAGGGTAAACCCATCCCATGAACCTCTTTCGTGCAGGGTTTGACCCATGGAGGGTAAACCCATCCCATGAACCTCTTTCGTGCAGGGTTTGACCCATGGAGGGTAAACCCATCCCATGAACCTCTTTCGTGCAGGGTTTGACCCATGGAGGGTAAACCCATCCCATGAACCTCTTTCGTGCAGGGTTTGACCCATGGAGGGTAAACCCATCCCATGAACCTCTTTCGTGCAGGGTTTGACCCATGGAGGGTAAACCCATCCCATGAACCTCTTTCGTGCAGGGTTTGACCCATGGAGGGTAAACCCATCCCATGAACCTCTTTCGTGCAGGGTTTGACCCATGGAGGGTAAACCCATCCCATGAACCTCTTTCGTGCAGGGTTTGACCCATGGAGGGTAAACCCATCCCATGAACCTCTTTCGTGCAGGGTTTGACCCATGGAGGGTAAACCCATCCCATGAACCTCTTTCGTGCAGGGTTTGACCCATGGAGGGTAAACCCATCCCATGAACCTCTTTCGTGCAGGGTTTGACCCATGGAGGGTAAACCCATCCCATGAACCTCTTTCGTGCAGGGTTTGACCCATGGAGGGTAAACCCATCCCATGAACCTCTTTCGTGCAGGGTTTGACCCATGGAGGGTAAACCCATCCCATGAACCTCTTTCGTGCAGGGTTTGACCCATGGAGGGTAAACCCATCCCATGAACCTCTTTCGTGCAGGGTTTGACCCATGGAGGGTAAACCCATCCCATGAACCTCTTTCGTGCAGGGTTTGACCCATGGAGGGTAAACCCATCCCATGAACCTCTTTCGTGCAGGGTTTGACCCATGGAGGGTAAACCCATCCCATGAACCTCTTTCGTGCAGGGTTTGACCCATGGAGGGTAAACCCATCCCATGAACCTCTTTCGTGCAGGGTTTGACCCATGGAGGGTAAACCCATCCCATGAACCTCTTTCGTGCAGGGTTTGACCCATGGAGGGTAAACCCATCCCATGAACCTCTTTCGTGCAGGGTTTGACCCATGGAGGGTAAACCCATCCCATGAACCTCTTTCGTGCAGGGTTTGACCCATGGAGGGTAAACCCATCCCATGAACCTCTTTCGTGCAGGGTTTGACCCATGGAGGGTAAACCCATCCCATGAACCTCTTTCGTGCAGGGTTTGACCCATGGAGGGTAAACCCATCCCATGAACCGCTTTCGTGCAGGGTTTGACCCATTGACCCATGGAGTAAACCCATCCCATGAACCTCTTTCGTGCAGGGTTTGACCCATGGAGGGTAAACCCATCCCATGAACCTCTTTCGTGCAGGGTTTGACCCATGGAGGGTAAACCCATCCCATGAACCTCTTTCGTGCAGGGTTTGACCCATGGAGGGTAAACCCATCCCATGAACCTCTTTCGTGCAGGGTTTGACCCATGGAGGGTAAACCCATCCCATGAACCTCTTTCGTGCAGGGTTTGACCCATGGAGGGTAAACCCATCCCATGAACCTCTTTCGTGCAGGGTTTGACCCATGGAGGGTAAACCCATCCCATGAACCTCTTTCGTGCAGGGTTTGACCCATGGAGGGTAAACCCATCCCATGAACCTCTTTCGTGCAGGGTTTGACCCATGGAGGGTAAACCCATCCCATGAACCTCTTTCGTGCAGGGTTTGACCCATGGAGGGTAAACCCATCCCATGAACCTCTTTCGTGCAGGGTTTGACCCATGGAGGGTAAACCCATCCCATGAACCTCTTTCGTGCAGGGTTTGACCCATGGAGGGTAAACCCATCCCATGAACCTCTTTCGTGCAGGGTTTGACCCATGGAGGGTAAACCCATCCCATGAACCTCTTTCGTGCAGGGTTTGACCCATGGAGGGTAAACCCATCCCATGAACCTCTTTCGTGCAGGGTTTGACCCATGGAGGGTAAACCCATCCCATGAACCTCTTTCGTGCAGGGTTTGACCCATGGAGGGTAAACCCATCCCATGAACCTCTTTCGTGCAGGGTTTGACCCATGGAGGGTAAACCCATCCCATGAACCTCTTTCGTGCAGGGTTTGACCCATGGAGGGTAAACCCATCCCATGAACCTCTTTCGTGCAGGGTTTGACCCATGCAGGGTTTGACCCATGGAGGGTAAACCCATCCCATGAACCTCTTTCGTGCAGGGTTTGACCCATGGAGGGTAAACCCATCCCATGAACCTCTTTCGTGCAGGGTTTGACCCATGGAGGGTAAACCCATCCCATGAACCTCTTTCGTGCAGGGTTTGACCCATGGAGGGTAAACCCATCCCATGAACCTCTTTCGTGCAGGGTTTGACCCATGGAGGGTAAACCCATCCCATGAACCTCTTTCGTGCAGGGTTTGACCCATGGAGGGTAAACCCATCCCATGAACCTCTTTCGTGCAGGGTTTGACCCATGGAGGGTAAACCCATCCCATGAACCTCTTTCGTGCAGGGTTTGACCCATGGAGGGTAAACCCATCCCATGAACCTCTTTCGTGCAGGGTTTGACCCATGGAGGGTAAACCCATCCCATGAACCTCTTTCGTGCAGGGTTTGACCCATGGAGGGTAAACCCATCACATGAACCTTTTTTCTGCATGGTTTGATAGGGTAAGTAGTTTTGCCGCCATGTGTAGTTGCACTCATTACGCCATGTAAAAGAAACTGTACTTGTTAACCCAATAACATAGCAGCCATGTCGGGGCGGCTGCCAACCTATTCACAATTATTTTATTATTATTTTAGTTGAGATGCACCACACAATAGCGATTTTTATATTTTGTATTTGGTCAGTAGAGAGTCCCTTTAACAATCTCTATCTTTTAATCTATATGTATACAATTATATATATCATAATAATAATTCTCTCTATTGTTAACTTTTTTCACTTGATCTTTGAACCAAACCTTCTCACTTAACCAAATGGTCCTCATCTGAGTCCAATAGCTCCGCCATTTTGTGTACTTATATTTTTGGGACCATTAGGATCCTGTTTGTGTTTTTGTTTATATATTTTACATTATCCTATTTTTTGGGGGCCCTAAAATCCGGTTTATTGGAATGTGACATCATTGCGCAATCCAGCGCCAATCATTCTGTGGTCACATTTGGACCGTTTGGTTAATTGTTTACATTTGTCAATCACTTTGAATTAATGTTAATTTTGTTTCCTATATATACTGTTTGTATGCACTGATGTGATTGCTTTATAAAGACTTCAGTTGAGGTGGAAACGTTGCTCTTGTTACTTCATGCCTGAATCATGCTGCATTTTCCACGTAAGCACTGGGGCCCGCAGCCTCAGGTCCAGATTTGCACATGGATTATCACCCTTGGTACCACCCTAATGTAAGGAGTCAAACCATTTTAGATTAGTTTGACTTCTTACTTGGAGTCCACCTGGAGCCCCTCTATCTTTAACATTAACTGGAATTGAGACAGATATTATCATAAAGTAATGGCATTTTGTTCTCCAAATAATTTTTATTAAATGTTTCATAAAATTTAAAAGGAAACAATAACAATAGAAAAGGGTACAAAAGAGAAAAACAGGGAAAAAAGTGGGAAAACAAATTCTCTATCTATAATCAGTTAAACACAAATAGGATCACAGGACATTGCACACAAACATGACATATATCAGATAACATAGACAACATAATAACCACAGAAATATTTACATTTTAGCAAGATTCCATTTTCTACATGTTAAAAGTTATGACCAAATTTCATCAGGGATCTACCCTGCCTCCTGATTCTAAAAATCTCTGTGTGTTCCAGGACTTATCTCCAGCAATCTTAAAGGGACACTATAGTCACCAAAACAACTTTATGTTAATGAACCAGGTTTGGTGTATATATCATCCCTCTGAAGTCTCACTGCTCAATTCTCTGCCATTTAGGAGTTAAATCACTTTTGCTTCTGTTTGAGCAGCCCTAGCTACACCTCCCCGGCTGTGACTGACACAGCCTGCATGAAAAAAAATTGTTTCATTTTCAATCAAATGTAACTTACTTTAAAAGTATTTATCACCTGCTCTGTAACTTGAACTTTAATTACATACAGGAGGCTCTTGCAGGGTCTAGCAAGCTATTAACAGAGCAGGCGATAAGAAATTCTAAATAGAACAGAATTTTCCACAAAGGAAGTTTAAACATTAGATGACTCTTTACAGGCAGTCTTTAGGAAGGCTGTGTAAGTCACATGCTGTGAGGTGTCATTAGGGTTGCATAAACAAAGTGATTTAACTCCTAAATGGCAGAGAATTGAGCAGTGAGACTGCAAATGGTGGCGGAACTACTGCAGTTGCAAGGGGTCGCAGGTGCGACTGGGCCGGTCACTCCAATGGGCCCGTCTGCCCTGCTGACCAGTGCGACTGGGGTGCCCGCCAGCATTGTGCTGCAGCCCGGCCATGCAGAAACAACCACTGGGGCCGCATGGAAGGGGTTTATCAGATGGCCCATGCTCTTGGGGCCACCCAATGGCAATTAATTACTTGGGGCTTTCTCAGCACCCCAGTGATGACGTCAGAGCGCCCACTGGGAGGAAGCCATCACTTCCTCCCAGCTAAGAGAGAGTGTGAATGTCTTTATCTGTGTGTATGCGTCTGTATGTGTGTGTGAATGTCTGTATGTGTATGTGGGATCTGTATGTATGTATATGTAACGGTTTTGCATGTGTGTCAGTGCGTGCCCCTATGTATTTGTATGTGTGTCACAGTTTATATCTGTATGTGTGTCATTCTGTGTATCTGAATGTTTGTCATTAAGTTTGTCTGTGTGTCTTTGTGTCTATATGTATATCTGTCAGTATGTGTGTTCGGTGTCTATGTGTATCTGTTTGTCTGCATGTGTGGCAGTGTGTGCCTTGTATGTATCTGTATGAGTGTCACTGTTTGTATCTATTTGCGTGTCATTCTGTGTATGTGTATCTGCATGTGTCCATATGTGCCAAAATAACTGAATTAGAAATATTTTCCATTCAGCAATGCTTTTGACTTGAAATTTGAAATTCACTTTGACTTCACTTTGAATTCTCTCTTTGGTGAATAAATCCTGGTGGTCTGTGAACCACATGCCAGAAAAATGCTCCTATCAGTGATCTGCGAAATATAGACGCAGCACGCTGATTGGCCCATTTTTCTCCTTTTTTTGTTCTTCTAATTTGATTTTCTTTGAAGTTTTGTGACATATGGCAGAAATCTGGTGTTACCCACTCATTCTATACTTGAGGGAAAATGGTTCGACTGAGCTGAATTTTCACACTGTGCACAAGTATGACGTTAACTTGAAGTCTTTTTTTTTTTTCACACATAACATGATTGAACACAGAGAACAGTTATAAAAGAATGACATAAGTAATAAAAATGGTTAATTGTTCCCGAAGCAGATTCTTTTTATGAAGATAATTCCTCATTCCCTGTTAATGAGTTACTGGAGTCATATTTCCCTTATTCCCATAGGATTCAGACACCCTGCGTTCCGTCGACAAATGTTATTTCGGTCACGAATACAACACACACACCTGCATGGAACTCTTCGGACTTCTCTTTTCTTTTTACTCTGAAATAAATAGGTAAATATTGCATTATTTGAGATATCAGATATAAAATTGGTCCTATAATAAGAGTACATCGACAGTCACACATATAAGCCCTGGGGGGCAAGGGAATGTAATTGATGTATTAAATACATAAACCTTGTATTTTAAGCCAATAAAAAGTAAATAAATAAACTGGGTACGTCATGCCAATGAGCTGTTTCACCAACTGTTCGGCAAACTTGTTAAATGTTAGCAATGGGTTTGCGCGAACCGACTGAATCCCACCACTGGCTAAATCTAGAACGAAAAATCAAGAAACCAACTAACTATTTAAGCGAGTTGCTGGTCCAGCACTTACAGGATGATCCACTAAAGTCCAAATGACCCAGTACTGAATGGAGCAAAACTGCAAAATATGAAAATTGCTCACGTTATTTAACCATGTCTGGCACTGAAGGGGCGTGAATTAGGTCCGATTTCAAACTGACTGAATGCTGCGAGACAGAATCTGAGCACAAACGCTAATCTGGGCCAGTGGCAAATGGCTAATAACCCTTTATACTAAGACGTTTAATTAAGTGGAGGCTGATTAGGACTTGCTAGACAACAGCCTCAGTAAAACTGTAAAAAAATATATATAAAAAGGCCTATGGGGGTGAAAAATAAACCTCCATGTGCCCCCACCTGCCATGTGCCAGGTGGGGGCATATCTACAACATTTGTAAAAGTAGTGACCGGGCAGTCGCTGGGCTGTTTTGCTGCCTAGTCGCAAGAAAGACCTGTTAAATAATGTGGGCGCACAAACTCTCCCCCGAAATGTCCCCATCCGATATCCATTTAAAACTGTGGATGACTTTACAGAACCCCCACCTGCTGTAGGAAATCGGTGGGGCTTATTTAATAAAGGAATATAGGTGGACACCCTAATACCCTGTTTCTGAATGATTTAACACATAATATTCTCTTTTGTCCCTTCTCTGCTGGGCAACGTACATCGTTTCCATAGTGAGGAAAACTGTGCGATGCCCACAAGATAGATTATCTTGAGCACAAGGCCACAAGGATGCTGTGTATCCATAGCAATGCTGTGCATCTTTTATGCGTTCTTAAAGGCACAGGAAACACACATTCTGCCTTATATACTAACGAATTTTCATCATAATCATAGGGCGACCCCTGCTGCAGCCTTGTGATTATAGATTTCCTGCTAGTGTTGGTCCCACATTGATGACACTATGCAATTGTGATGCACCCTTTAATAAGCCCCTGCTTTCATTGCTTGATGCCCTATCATGATTCTTGCTGCCTGACAGTTAATGACTGCCTGTGAGGAACTGACTCTGCTGGGTTTCGAACCCTGGTTTACATGGTGCTAAACCTCTTCCTTACCAGTACACCAGCCTGCCTTTTGCAAATTAACCTGAGATCTGATACCATTGCTTGTAGAGTCAAGGTTATCAGTGACAACTCTCTTCAGCTGTGTCTGGTCAGGTGTCTGGTTCTTGGCCTATAAAAGCCACTTCCTGTCTCTGTACCTTTGCCAGATTATTGTGGTTCCTGTACTCTCTAATCAAGCGTGTTCCTGTTTCTCCTTCCTGTTGCTGAATTTGGACTGTTTTGACTTTGCTGCTTCTCCTTCCCACTGACCTCGGCTTGCCTCACTACGATTATCATCTTTCTGTTCCAGTCTCCCATCTCTGCTTAAGACCAGAAGGCCACTCAAGGCTCAGGGGCTCAACCACCTGGGTAACGAGTGGCTACCTCTGGCAGAAAACATTGCTGATCTGGCTACTGGACTCCAAAACTTTGTAACATCAATATCATTACAGAATAATCTGGCCCATTCATGGAGACCGTCGGATCAGATTCTGCATTGGCCCAGCAGGTTGCTTTTAATGCAAGAACTATGCAGACCCAGGCACAGACCATTCAAGTGCTGCAGGATCAGGTAGCTGAACTGCAAAATGAAGTTCGATCAATGCATAGTGAGCTTACCAGCTACAGGGCACATGATGTTGCGGCTGCTGCTACTACTACTGTTACACCTGCACAAGATGCCCGCTTGCCTCTACCAGAAAAATTTAGAGGAGACCGCAAACAATTTAGGGGTTTCCTAAATCAATGCCGTTTGCATTTCATGATGTTACCTAACCGTTTTCCATCTGAAAGAGAGAAGGTGGGATTTATTTTTTCCCTCTTCAAAGATGAAGCCCTGGCCTGGGGCTCCCCTTTTCTGGAACAGGACAGTCCAGTCTTGGGAAATTTAAAAGACTTTCTTGAGGCCATGTTTTTGATGATCCCAATCGCTGTGCTACAGCAGAAGCCACTCTCCTTCATTTACATCAAGGGAGGCGCTCTGTGGCTGAATATGCTGCTGAATTCAGACAGTGGGTTACTGATACTACTTGGAACCAATCAGCCCAGAGGTTCCACTTCAGAAGGGGTCTCTCAGAAGCTATAAAAGATGAGCTAGCTCGTGTTGATCTTCCTGTTGAGTTTGATGCATTTGTGCGGTTGGCTATCCGTATTGATCGGAGACTTTCAGAAAGAAGATTGGAAAGACAGGGCTCTTTTAAACCAAGTGCTACTCCTACTTTCTATTCAAGAATTTCTACTCCGACCCCACAAACACCTACAGACTCTGAACCTGAGGCTATGCAGGTAGATCTAATAAGAGGGCCATTATCCAATGAAGAAAAACAGTGGCGACGCACTCACAACTTATGCCTGTATTGTGGTAGTGCAGGGCATTATGCCATCAATTGCCCTAACAAGTCTAAAAGAACAATAGCTATGACTGCTGAGGGTGCACAGATTCAACACCAATCCCAGATTTCAGACCAACTGGATTCTGTCACACAACCCTTGTTTTCTCTGGCTCAGGGTGAAGAAGGTATGATGACTCAACATCCTCATTTGGTGGTGCCTATCACTTTGCAATATGGTGATAATAAAATTTCAACTACAGCTATGATAGATTCCGGAGCAGGCGGAAACTTTATGGACATTAAATTTGCAGCAGGAAATAAAATTCAGTCTATCCCTAAATCTTCACCTGTGTTAATGGAAACAGTAGACGGTTCTCCACTTACGTCAGGCCCGGTTACACATGAGACTGTGCCCTTCTGGAAGTGAATCACCATGAGTCTATATCTTTCCACCTAATTTCCTCAACACAGTTTCCAGTGATTTTGGGTATACCCTGGCTTGCTCTGCATAACCCACAGATTGATTGGAAGACTAGAACTTTGTCCTTTCCTTCAGAAAACTGCTTAATGAATTGTCAACCCTCTAAGGCGACACCTGTTACCATAACAATTAATGAAATGGTTGCTACAAACTTAACTGAGCTTCCGCTACAATATCGGGATTTTGCAGATGTCTGTGATAAGAAGAATGCTGATCAGCTTCCACCTCACAGGCCTTATGATTGCCCCATAGAGCTGCTACCCGGAGCTGCTATCCCATTTGGCCGTATATACTCCCTTTCTGAGCCTGAATTGAAAGCACTTCGTGAATACATACAAGAAAATCTTGCCAAAGGCTTTATTCGACCATCCACTTCTCCAGCAGGAGCTCCTATATTCTTTGTAGAAAAGAAAGATGGCAGTCTACGGCCATGTGTCGATTACAGGGACATTAATAAAATCACTGTTAAAAACCGTTATCCCTTGCCTCTCATTCCTGAACTTCTGGAGAGACTTCGTTCAGCTAAAATATTTACGAAGCTTGATCTACGGGGGGCATATAATCTGGTTCGCATAAGACCAAATGATGAATGGAAAACAGCTTTCAGAACCAGGTACGGACATTACGAATATCTAGTAATGCCATTTGGGCTTTGTAATGCCCCTGCAACTTTTCAGCATCTAATCAATGATGTACTACGGGATCTCCTGGATCAGTTTGTTGTGGCATATTTGGATGATATCCTGATATTTTCTGATAATCTTGAAAATCACAGAAAACAGGTCTGCATTGTTCTTGAGCGCCTTCGTACCCACCACCTATACATTAAACTGGAAAAATGTGAGTTTGAACAAACAGAAATTCAGTTCCTGGGGTATGTAATAACTCCTAAAGGTTTAAGTATGGACGCAAGTAAAATTAAAGCTGTGCTGGACTGGCCCATCCCCAAGAATGAAAAAGATATACAGAGATTTGTGGGGTTTGCCAATTTTTACAGGCGTTTCATTAAGAATTTCTCTGCCGTTATTACACCGATCACTGAACTTACACGTAAAGGGACTCCTTTTCAGTGGTCCAATAAGGCTGACACTGCATTTTCCAGATTAAAGACTCTGTTTACATCTGCCCCTATCTTGGTACATCCTCAGCCAGAATTGCCATTTACTGTAGAGGTAGATGCTTCTGATTCAGCTGTTGGGGCTATACTGTCTCAAAGGACTGGACCTAAGATGTTGTTACATCCATGTGCCTTCTATTCCCGCCAGATGTTACCAGCAAAAAGAAATTATGACATAGGGAATAAAGAACTTTTGGCTATAAAAGCTGCCTTCACCGAATGGAGACATCTCTTGGAGGGAGCCACCCATCCAATTACTGTCCTCACAGATCACAAAAATCTGGAATGTATCCAATCCGCTAAGAGACTGTCAGCCAGACAAGCACGCTGGTCCCTATTTTTCTCAAGGTTTAATTTTTTTATTTCATACCGCCCTGGTTCCAGATATGGCAAGGCGGATGCCTTGTCTAGGATAGCTGTCCCCCTCCATACTACAGTAACCAAGGCCACCATCTTGCCGGAGAGCAGATTTTTAGGAGTTACCTTTCCTTCTGATCTAATGTCTCGCATTAAAAAGGGCTACTCTAAAGATCCATTTTTTTCGTGATCCTCCTCGTGATCTTCACATGACCATGCTTAATGGGTTTTGGATTTTTCAACAACGTCTGTTTGTTCCAGAATCAGTGCGACTGGACGTTTTACGCCTCTACCATGACTCTAAACCAGCAGGTCATCCAGGAATCCGAAAGACACAAGAACTACTTACCCGATCCTTTTGGTGGCCTAAATATTATGAGGATGTTAAGAAGTATGTGTCCTCTTGTGATGTATGTGCCAGACATAAGACTCCTCGCTCATCCCCTGTTGGCTTGCTTCAGCCTCTTCCGATTCCTCATCGTTCCCTGGGGATCTATATCCATGGACTTTATTGTGGAACTACCTCCCTCTAAGGAACACACTACCATTCTTGTTGTTGTGGACCGGTTAACTAAGATGAGTCATTTCATACCAGCTCATGGTCTCCCTTCAGCTAAACAGACTGCTGACCTTGTTATTCGGGAAATATTTCGCTTGCATGGAGTGCCTGATGAAGTAATTTCTGACAGGGGAGTGCAGTTTACATCTCATTTTTGGAAATATTTTTGTTCTATTCTAGGTATTAATGTAAATCTGTCTTCAGCCTTTCATCCACAAAGTAATGGACAGACTGAGCGAACCAACCAGACTTTAGAACAATATTTGCGGTGCTATATTAGTTACCTGCAGGATGACTGGCTGGATTTTCTACCCATGGCGGAGTTTGCCTATAACAATGCCCAACACTGCTCCACTTCTCTGAGCCCATTTTTTGCCAATTATGGTTACCATCCAACCTTTCTAGTGAGTCTCCCAATTACTACTCCCATTCCTGCAGTCACTGACCGGCTAACCGCCTTACGAGATTCCCAAGAACTGTTGAAGGAGACTCTTTCGGAGGCTCAGGAATGTTACAAAAGAGCTGCTGATAGGCACAGAAAGGAAGCCCCAGTTTATCATGTTGGTGACAAGGTTTGGCTGTCAACAAAGAATCTTAAGCTTAGGATTCCTTCTCATAAATTGGGTCAAAAGTTCATGGGACCTTTTGAGATAATCGCTCAGATCAATGCAGTCACCTTCCGTCTGCAACTTCCGGATTCCATGAAAATACATCCGGTGTTTCACGTGGCATTGCTTAAACCTTTTCATGAAAATACTTTCCCTGGTCGAGCCTTGCCTGCTCCACCACCAGTCCTCGTGGATGGTGAAGATGAATACAAGGTGGAAAAAATTCTTGACTCCAGGATCTTCTGCAACAAGCTTCAATATTTGGTTCATTGGAAAGGCTATGGTGAGGAGGATAGATTGTGGGAACCAGTGGACAATATTCATGCTCCTGATCTTCTTCAGTCTTTCCATGCACAGTACCCTGCTAAACCAGGAAATAGTGCATCCAGAGGCTGCACCTGTAGAGGTGGAGGTAATGTGAGGAACTGACTCTGCTGGGTTTCGAACCCTGGTTTACATGGTGCTAAACCTCTTCCTTACCAGTACACCAGCCTGCCTTTTGCAAATTAACCTGAGATCTGATACCATTGCTTGTAGAGTCAAGGTTATCAGTGACAACTCTCTTCAGCTGTGTCTGGTCAGGTGTCTGGTTCTTGGCCTATAAAAGCCACTTCCTGTCTCTGTACCTTTGCCAGATTATTGTGGTTCCTGTACTCTCTAATCAAGCGTGTTCCTGTTTCTCCTTCCTGTTGCTGAATTTGGACTGTTTTGACTTTGCTGCTTCTCCTTCCCACTGACCTCGGCTTGCCTCACTACGATTATCATCTTTCTGTTCCAGTCTCCCATCTCTGCTTAAGACCAGAAGGCCACTCAAGGCTCAGGGGCTCAACCACCTGGGTAACGAGTGGCTACCTCTGGCAGAAAACATTGCTGATCTGGCTACTGGACTCCAAAACTTTGTAACATCAATATCATTACACTGCCACTGTGAGAGTGTTTGGTTACTGTTGGTGATTACACTAGGCAATCATCTTGAAGAAGGCATGGCGTGCACACGTCCCAACGCGCGGAGACATTTTCTCATATAAATTTTGTTACTTGTCATCATTTGTTACTTTGAAGTATTTTTTTGTAACACAGATAACCCTCACATAATCTGGATCTGCCCAGGCTACGGAAGATGTCCGGCGACTGTTAACCTGCCTACTACCACCAATCAATCCATAAATCATCCTTCTGGTTCTACTCTCATAAGGCTCAGCCATAACCCCCTCCTCCGCAGTAAGAGTCCCACCTGTGATGTCCTAACCTGCAGGCCATGTCTGGTAAAAGAACAGACATATTGCCAAATTCTAATCAATTGAACTTGTAAAGGAATCCCTTAGAAATGAGATTGTATCATAATGTAAATTGTATAGTCTATAATCCAAGCTCCAATTATCCTAACTAAACCAAGCTCCAGTCATCCTAACTATACTTCGCTTTATGTAACAGAGAAACGTACGTTTTGATACAAAGTGTTGCATGTAACGAGAATTTTCCTCTCTCCGTCTCCAGGGAAAATGGATGCTGCGCACTGCTTTACCACCTATGTTGGAGACACAGTTATAACACAGTAAATACAAGGACAGGGCAGGCACTGAGACATGAAGAGCTTTCTAATAGGATGATTTGGGACAGTGTGTTTTCCTGACAGAATGAATATGTTTGTTGTTTGCTTCAGAACTGGACTACCCAGTAGGCAACCATGGTGGCCGCCATTGGTCCACTTGTGGGTTTTGGTGGAACAACCTCCTGCAAGCTCAAGGGGCCCATCAGCTAGCCCATGCACCTAGGGCCAACCAATGGCCATCTTTGAACAGGGGTGTGGCCGTTTAACAGTGTATCCAGGCCCCCTGGTCTGTGTGAAGCCTCCGTGCTGGGAGGAAGCAAGAACAATGCACTTCTTCCTAGTTTACCAATGAGCCACACGGGAGAGGGAGAGCGGGGAGGAAACGAAGAGAGAGAGCATGGAGTTTGGACCCGGCACCCATCAGACCCAGCCAGATACCACTGGACTCTAGGTATGCCTCCCCCTGCACCAAACAGGTATGGAAGCAGGAGGTGGTTAAACTCTGTAAATTGTGATCTTTGTTTTATGTGTGTAAATGTGTGTATGTGTTATCTGTGTGTATATATGAGTCGATGTGTATCTATGTGTGTGTAGCGTTACTTACCTTAACCGGGGGCCGGTCGCGGTCCTCTCTTCGAGCCGCGCGCGGCCCTGCGGCTGCACGAGCCGCGCGCGGCTCATCCGACTGCTTCAGATGGAAGCGGTCACGTGTCCCGCCTGAAACTAAGAGCGCGCCGCGAGTCTCGGGCGCGCTCTTAAAGAGACAGTGGGAGCCTAATTGCCAAAAGGCTCCCATTGGCTCCTGTCATACCACACTCCCTATACAATTACCTATAGGGGGTGTGGAAGTGACAGGAGCCAATCACTTTGGTTTAAAAGCTATTTAACTTACCTTTTTCCCTTAGCTCGTTGCCCTATCGTGGTTTCTGTTTCAGTTCCCTTTAGCGCTTGTGGTGTTCAGTTGTGTTTTCTCGTATTGACTTTGGCTTCGTATTCTGACTTCGTTTTCGCTTTATCCTTATCTGTACTGTTTGCCGGCTTGCTGTTTTCCGTGTACCAGACCCCGGCTTGTCCTAGTTTATGCTGTCTCTCTGTGCCCTTGACCTCGGTTTGTTCCTGGCTCTGTCTCCTCTCATATACGTCGAGTCCGGCCATTCTAAGGTCCGGTAGACGTATCTCTCCTCTGTATTTGCCTCTGTTTAGCTGGATCCTGCGTGTAGGGGTATATTCTCGTTACATTACGATAGGGCCATGGACCCCGCAGATTTAGCTCAACAGATGGCGTCCCATGAGGCAAGATTTGTAGAGCAGGATCACCGTATGGATCAGATAGCTCAGGCTCTCCAGACGCTCCTAGCTAGAACCGTTCCAGCAACCACACCTAACCCTCCTACGCCCCTTCTCCCTGAAGTATCTACTTTGCCTAATACTTCGGCCCATTTAACACCTCCTCCTAGGTATGGAGGGGACTCTAAGACTTGCAGAGGGTTTATTAATCAAATTGAATTCCACTTCGAAATGTATCCACGCTCATTTCCCACAGAGAGGTCTAAGGTTGGGTTCTTTATGCACCAACTCACCGATAAGGCACTTGAGTGGGCAAATCCTATTTGGGAAGCTAATGGACCTATGGTGCATGATTTCAACAGTTTTCTTACGGCTTTTCGTAGAACTTTTGACACAATGAAAAGGTCAAAGAATGCCGCGAGAGCATTAATGAGAATTAAACAGGGTTCTAGGTCTGTGGCTGATTATGCTATTCAGTTTCGCACTCTTGCTTCGCAGGTAGATTGGACCAACAATGGGTTAACTACTGCCTTTATGGAAGGTTTGTCAGATACGATATTGGATGAGGTAGCAGCTAAGGAGCTTCCTATTGCCTTAGAGGACCTTATCGATTACCTCATTGATATAGATAATAGAATTCGTGACAGGCTCTATACCAAGAACAGGAATAGACGTTTTGTTACACCCATTAACCCCAGAGTTAATATACCAGAGAGTGTTAAAGTGTCTGAGGAGGAACCTATGCAATTAGGGGTTGCCAAACTCTCTGATACTGAGAAATTACATAGGAGAAGGGAGGGACTCTGCCTATACTGTGGTAGGAGAGACCATATGGTAAAGGAATGTCCTTTACTCCCGGAAAACTCTCGCACCTAAGACCTTATAGGGGACTGGCCTTGGGTGTGATATCTAAGTCTCCTAAATTGCCTCCTAACCGCTTGCTTCTCCCGGTTTCTTTATATATGGGAGAGATTTGTATAGTTGACAACATATATGCTCTGGTTGACTCTGGGGCAGCTGAAAATTTTATAGACTCTGGCTTTATAAAGAGAAACAACATTCCCATCAGAGAGAAGGAGATACCCTTGGCCGTTGAGGCCATAGATGGTAGACCATTAAGTTCTCCAGTTGTTACTCATGAGACTGTACCATTACACATGTACACAGGGGTTTTACACTATGAAACCATTCGATTCCAGGTCATCACCTCTCCCTCTTCACAGTTAGTATTAGGGTATCCATGGTTACGTGCTCACAATCCCATTTTTGACTGGGAGACAGGGCAAATAAAATCATGGAGTGAGGCCTGCCACGAGTCTTGTACGTTGGAAGTCACACCTTTGAATTCTATTGAGGTACCTACCAGTCCTCCTTTGTCTACGGTTATACCCCCTCAGTATTTATCTCTAAAGACTGTTTTCGATAAAAGGGAGGCTGAGAAATTACCGCCTCACAGACCCTATGATTGCGCTATTGACTTGTTGCCTGGCACTATACCTCCAAAGGGCAGGGTGTACCCCTTATCGGTTCAAGAAAACCGTGTCATGGAGGAGTATATTAAGGATTCACTAGAAAAGGGGTTTATTAGGAGATCCTCTTCTCCAGCTGGAGCAGGGTTCTTCTTTGTATCGAAGAAAGAAGGTGATTTAAGACCGTGTATAGATTATAGAGGTCTAAACAAAATCACTATCAAAAATGCATACCCTATACCTTTAATTACAGAATTATTTGACAGGCTGAAACATGCCACTGTGTTCACTAAATTAGACCTTAGGAGTGCATACAATTTGATACGTATAAAGGAAAATCACGAATGGAAGACTGCATTCAACACTAGATCCGGTCATTACGAATATACTGTTATGCCATTTGGGCTTTGCAATGCCCCAGCAGTATTCCAAGAATTTATTAATGATGTCTTAAGAGATTTTATTCACACATTTGTTATCGTATACTTGGACGACATTTTAATATATTCTACAGATATACACACTCATCACAGACATGTTACGACAGTTTTGAAGACCCTTCTTGCTAATGGTCTTTATTGCAAGCTAGAAAAATGTCTGTTTGACCAAACCGAAGTCCAGTTCTTGGGGTATTTGATTTCCGCTAAAGGTTTTCGTATGGATCCCCAGAAGCTTGCTGCTGTAATAGAATGGCCTCTACCGCAAGGTCTGAAAGCTATTCAGCGTTTTCTTGGGTTCTCCAATTATTATAGACGTTTTATCAAAGGTTTCTCGTCCATTGTAGCACCTATTACCCGTATGACTAAAAAGGATGGCAATACTCGTGTTTGGTCTACCGAGGCACTTCAGGCTTTTGAATTTCTTAAAACTACGTTCGCCTCTGCACCTATTTTACAGCATCCTGTCCCCTCACTGCCCTATATTCTTGAAGTTGATGCTTCGGATATTGGGGTAGGTGCTGTCTTATCCCAAAGAGAGTCGCCTGAAAAGCCATTGCATCCATGCGGCTTCTTTTCTAAACAAATGTCCAAAGCAGAGAAAAATTATGATGTGGGTAATCGCGAACTCCTTGCTATTATTTTAGCACTTAAAGAGTGGAGACATTTGTTAGAAGGAACTAAGGATCCTATCCTCATTTTTACGGATCACAAGAACCTATCCTACCTTAGCGAAGCCAAAAGATTGTCTTCCAGGCAGGCTAGGTGGTCACTATTTTTGTCCCGTTTCAATTTTATTATCACCTATAGGCCAGGTGATCGCAACACTAAAGCAGACGCTCTGTCCAGACAGTTCGAAACTACTGACAAACAGGAGATTGATGTTACTCCTGTCATTCCCCCAGACAGGATAATAGCTACTACTATTTTGTCTATTTCCTCGTCCCTCTTGCAGGCCATACAAGCGAAACAAAGCATGGCACCTAGCGAGAGGCCTAATGATAAACTGTTCGTTGATGTTCCTGAGAGACGGGATATTATGTCATTATATCATGATACTAAGACTGCTGGACATCCTGGTATTTCCAAAACGGTGTCAGCTGTTTCTCGGTATTTTTGGTGGGATTCCTTACGAAAGGATGTCACTGACTATATAAGTGCTTGTACTACTTGTGCCTGTATGAAATCCTCCCGTAGAGTTCCTTGTGGGCTGTTGCATCCGTTACCCGTTCCCGAGAGACCTTGGTCTAACCTTTCCATGGATTTTATTGTTGAATTACCCCCTTCAAATGGTAACACAGTAATCCTGATGATAGTGGATCGGTTCTCCAAAATGGCTCACTTCGTGTCTCTTCGCAAGTTGCCCACATCCAAGGAACTGGCTCATATCTTCGCTAGAGAAGTATTTCGATTACATGGGATTCCCGTATCTATTGTATCCGATAGGGGTAGCCAATTTATTTCCAGGTTCTGGAGGGCCTTTTGTTCAGAAATGGGTATTTCTCTCTCATTTTCTTCCGCTTATCATCCCCAGTCTAATGGGGCTGCTGAACGTGCCAACCAGTCTCTGGAGCAATACCTCCGTTGTTTTGTGTCTCACCATCAGGACAATTGGTCTGACCTGCTTCCTTGGGCTGAATTTGCTCGGAATAACGCCACTCATGATTCTTCCGGCAAGACCCCTTTTTACGTTGTCTATGGCCAGCATCCCGTTGTTCTTCCGGCTGCATTCTCCTCACAGGGCATGCCAGTTCTGGATGAGCATTTGGCTGGTTTGCGTAATACTTGGGAGCAGGTTCAGCGTTCTTTGGTGGACTCTGCTACTCGCCAGAAGGCTCAGGCTGACAAGCATCGCAGAGCAGCTCCGTCCTATGTTGTGGGGGACAGGGTTTTGCTTTCCACGCGGAATATTCGTCTCCGGGTGCCTTCTATGAAATTGGCTCCCCGCTTCATTGGACCTTATCGTATTATACATAAGGTTAATCCTGTTTCTTATGCCTTAGGCCTGCCTAAGAATCTACGTATTCCTAATGTTTTTCACACCTCATTGTTGAAACCTTTCGTACGCAACCGCTATACCCGGCATACTCCTCCTCCCCCTCCTATCTCGGTGGAGGGTCATGAGGAGTTTGAAGTGTCTGCTGTTCTTGACTCTCGTTTCCTTAGGGGTCGACTTCAGTACTTGGTACATTGGAAGGGTTATGGGCCTGAGGAGCACAGTTGGATTTCGGCTGATGCTGTCCATGCTCCCCGTCTTGTGCGCTCTTTCCATTCTCGTTTTCCTGCCAGGCCTGGTCCTACCCGCCCGGGGGGCGTGTCCTCAGGGGGGGGTACTGTAGCGTTACTTACCTTAACCGGGGGCCGGTCGCGGTCCTCTCTTCAAGCCGCGCGCGGTCCTGCGGCTGCACGAGCCGCGCGCGGCTCATCCGACTGCTTCAGATGGAAGGCGGGCAGTGACCGCGTGAAGCGGTCACGTGTCCCGCCTGAAACTAAGAGCGCGCCGCGAGTCTCGGGCGCGCTCTTAAAGAGACAGTGGGAGCCTAATTGCCAAAAGGCTCCCATTGGCTCCTGTCATACCACACTCCCTATACAATTACCTATAGGGGGTGTGGAAGTGACAGGAGCCAATCACTTTCGTTTAAAAGCTATTTAAACTTACCTTTTTCCCTTAGCTCGTTGCCCTATCGTGGTTTCTGTTTCAGTTCCCTTTAGCGCTTGTGGTGTTCAGTTGTGTTTTCTCGTATTGACTTTGGCTTCGTATTCTGACTTCGTTTTCGCTTTATCCTTATCTGTACTGTTTGCCGGCTTGCTGTTTTCCGTGTACCAGACCCCGGCTTGTCCTAGTTTATGCTGTCTCTCTGTGCCCTTGACCTCGGTTTGTTCCTGGCTCTGTCTCCTCTCATATACGTCGAGTCCGGCCATTCTAAGGTCCGGTAGACGTATCTCTCCTCTGTATTTGCCTCTGTTTAGCTGGATCCTGCGTGTAGGGGTATATTCTCGTTACAGTGTGTAAGTGTGTGTATGAGTCAGTGTATATCTGTATATTTTAGTGTGTGTGTGTATGTATCTGTGTGTATGAGTCAGTGTGTATCTGTGTGTGTATTTGTGTGTCAGTGTGTATGTATCTGTTTGAATATGTGCTAGTGTATATGTGTGTGTGGATGTGTCAATGTGTATCTATGTGTGTAAGTCAGTGTGTATCTCTGTGTGCTAGTGTGTGATTTAATATGTATGTGTGTCAGTGTGTGTGTATGTATCTATGTGTGTATGCATCTGTGTGTATGTGTCAGTGTGTATCTGTGTGTGTCAGTGTGAGTGTATGTGTCAAGGTATGTTTCAGTGTGGATGTGCGGGGCAGTGTATTTGCATACATGCCAGCAATTAAACACCAACTCTATATTCAAACACAAACACTAAACACATGTACATACAAACATAAAACTGCATTCAAATGCCAACACTACACACAAATACATACATATATTCAAGACATGAAAAGACAAAACATGCTTATATTTGTCACCAGTTATGTTTGACAACTATTGCATTAAGAAGTATGTATTCATAAAAAAATTAATGCTCTTTATTAACAAATACTATAAGGTATGTCATGAATTTATAACTTTGCATGTGGCCCTTGGATTAGCCAAGGTTGGACAGCCCTGACCTATGCTAAATATTTCGGAAATAAGGGCAGGAAGAGACTTATATTTATTATTTTGTTAGTACAGGAGAAAGGAACACTTTTCTGTCTTGTATTTACTAAAATTATAATACTTATTAAGAAGCCAAAATATTCTGCAGCGTTGATCAATAGTTAATGAAACATATGAGAATTATTGATAAAACATATTTGGCAAATGGGAACAAGAGCTGAGAAGGGCTCTGCTTAGACAAGCTTACTTATAACAATAATATGCACTTATTTCTGATTGTATCTAGGAATATATTTTAACAATCTATTTCTATAATTCTAGAAATCATCTCATATTTTGTTTGTAACTGTATTTATCTACTTTTTGTGAATTTCTAAATTTCCATTTATTTTTCAAACTTCCCAAATGCATATTAGTTTAATAAAGGGATGAGTTAACAATTAATAATAATAATATTAACAATTATATGGAGTTCCCCTTTAAGATTCTGTTCTCCTATTTAGTAAGTGGCATTCTGCTCACTTTGAAATTAATGTGCGATTATTTTTTCTTTACAGAATAAGTATTTTATTTTATTTTTATTAAAAAAATTGTTTCTTTTATATTTGTTTCACAATTTCTCCAAATTATGGAATTATAAGAGGTTTGGTAATTTCTCAGTGTTGATAATAAGAGCAGGTAACTTACTCCGTCCTCTTTGAAAGCACACGGCTTGTTGATGTTTTCCTCTGATTTCTTACACTGTGTTTCCTTTATTATGAAAGTGAGCTGTTGGAAGGTCAGATCTTTGTCCTATTCATGAAATAAATGAAGAATCTGGACTAGTAGGCTCAGTACGCAGGTCACATGTAATGATAATGGTTATTCTATAATATTATTATATAATGGATATAATCTATCATTCGATATCTGTCTGTTTATCTAGTTACATATCTGTCTGTACTTGCTATCTGTGTCACTGTCTGTCGTTGTCTTTTCTAACTGTCTTTGCTATTGGTGACCATTTTTTGGTCTGTTCTCGCTATCTGTGTCTTTATTTGTTCATGTGTTGTCCCTGTCTTTGTCTCTTCCTATTTGTCTCTGTTACTTTGTTACAGCATTAGTATATTGTATGGTGCAGTGTATACTATAGACCAGTCACGATACTTACTATTAATGTTCCATGTTCGGTGCCATCTAGCTGGAAGATTGAGCCCTCACTGGATCCATTGTTGTAGTAGTCAGTGCAGGCTATTGCCAGGGCTGATATGTTCTGATTAGTCTCAGGAATTGTGGGTAGATAAGCAGCGGCTACCACTGAGCTCACCCCAAGTGTAAGGATAACCTTCAGAAAGCCGTCCGTGGTCACTCAGTGAGTCAGTCTCCAGGACACACAGCCCAGGGCAGCGTTTATATAGTGTGCAACAATTGGCTATTTTTGTTTGTATTATTTGGGTGCATTTTTGCACTTGTGATATATTGCAATATATTTTTCTTAAGAATCAACCCACAAACAGCCAGTGTTGGGAAACATGTGTAAATCTTTAATTCTGCGTTAAACTTTTTTATTTATTTATTTTTATTTCACAGAATTTTATTCAGCTGTGTTGTTGATGATTAATGATGATAGGATGATTGAGTTTCCCAGTGAGCGTGGGTGAAAGTTTTTACAATGTTAGTCGTAAGGCATTGGGGTCTGAACTGTGAAGGTTATTATAGCTTTGGGGGTCTACCTGTTGGGCAGCCCTGCTCTAGAACATACATCCCCCACATAAATAGACACACAATCACAATCACAGTGACATACACACACCTGCAGCCACAATCACAGTCACATACAAAAACCCAGTCACACACTTGTTCACACATTCTTTGTTGTGTATCTAGTTATTCTTTGCTCTTTCTCTGTATCTAGTAATTCTTTGCTGTCTGTGTATCTAGTTATTCTTTGCTGTGTGTGTATCTAGTTATTCTTTGCTGTCTGTGTGTATCTAGTTATTCTTTGCTGTCTGTGTATCTAGTTATTCTTTGCTGTCTCTTTATCTGGTTATTCTTTGCTGTCTCTGTATCTAGTTACTCTGTGCTGTCTGTGTATCTAGTTCTTCTTTGCTGTATCTGTATCTAGTTATTATTTGCTGTATCTGTATCTAGTAATTCTTTGCTGTCTTTGTGTATCTAGTTATTCTTTGCTGTCTGTGTATCTAGTTATTCTTTGCTGTCTTTGTATCTAGTTATTCTTTGCTGTCTGTGTATCTAGTTATTCTTTGCTGTATCTGTATCTAGTTATTCTTTGCTGTCTCTGTATCTAGTTATTCTTTGCTGTCTCTGTATCTAGTTATTCTTTGCTGTCTTTGTATCTAGTTATTCTTTGCTGTCTCTGTGTATCTAGTTATTCTTTGCTGTCTGTGTATCTAGTTATTCTTTGCTGTCTCTGTGTATCTAGTTATTCTTTGCTGTCTTTGTATCTGGTTATTCTTTGCTGTCTGTGTGTATCTAGTTATTCTTTGCTGTCTCTGTATCTAGTTATTCTTTGCTGTCTGTGTATCTAGTTATTCTTTGCTGTCTTTGTATCTAGTTATTCTTTGCTGTCTGTGTATCTAGTTATTCTTTGCTGTCTTTGTATCTAGTTATTCTTTGCTGTCTGTGTATCTAGTTATTCTTTGCTGTTTGTGTATCTAGTTATTCTTTGCTGTCTGTGTATCTAGTTATTCTTTGCTCTCTGTGTATCTAATTATTCTTTGCTGTCTGTGTATCTAGTTATTCTTTGCTGTCTGTGTATCTAGTTATTCTTTGCTGTCTGTGTATCTAGTTATTTTTTGCTGTCTGTGTATCTAGTTATTTTTTGCTGTCTGTGTGTATCTAGTTATTCTTTGCTGTTTGTGTATCTAGTTATTCTTTGCTGTTTGTGTATCTAGTTATTCTTTGCTGTCTATGTATCTAGTAATTCTTTGCTGTCTCTGTATCTAGTTATTCTTTGTTGTCTGTGTATCTAGTTATTCTTTGCTGTCTCTGTATCTAATTATTCTTTGCTGCCTGTGTATCTAGTTATTCTTTGCTGTCTGTGTATCTAGTTATTCTTTGCTGTCTGTGTATCTAGTTATTCTTTGCTGTCTGTGTATCTAGTTATTCTTTGCTGTCTGTGTGTATCTAGTTATTCTTTGCTGTCTGTGTGTATCTAGTTATTCTTTGCTGTCTGTGTATCTAGTAATTCTTTGCTGTCTTTGTGTATCTAGTTATTCTTTGCTGTCTCTGTATCTAGTAATTATTTGCTGTCTCTGTATCTAGTTATTCTTTGCTGTCTGTGTATCTAGTTATTCTTTGCTGTCTCTGTATCTAATTATTCTTTGCTGCCTGTGTATCTAGTTATTTTTTGCTGTCTCTGTATCTAGTTATTCTTTGCTGTCTGTGTATCTAGTTATTCTTTGCTGTCTATGTATATGGCTATTCTTGCTGTCTGTGCATTTAGTTACATGCAGGGCTGGATTAACATAGGGAATAACATAGGGGCTGATGGAGATGCAGCTCCAGGCCCAAGCCCAGGCCAAGGCCCATGGGATAGGCCCATTGATTTAAAACAAATAATAGTTTTTTTGTTTTTTTTACACACTACTCTTAGGGTTGCCAGGTATTTCTCATGTATTTCTTATGGTTGCCAGGTATTTCTCAGAAGTATTTCTCAGGTATTTGAGGCTGCCTAGCCAGTGCCGGTATTGCAGTAATACCAGCAATACAAATGTCTGTCTCAGTATAAACAGAGATTATTCTGCAATACCAGCGCCGGCCAGTAGGGGTGGCTGTTTGTGTGGAGAGAGGCAAGGATAAGAAGTTACAGCATCTCCCTCCCTACCTCTCTCTACTCACTGATCGCGGGGGAGCAGCTCTGCACAGAGAGTCCAGACAGCAGTTTCCAGCCTGCGAGACATGTGGACGGTGAGAGACTTGGGGACGCTGAGACATTGGGACACTGGGAGACATAAGGACACTGGGGAACATGGGGACCCTGAGACACTAGGGTCACAGTGTCTCAGTGGCCCCTGTGTCCCCATGTCTCCCAGCCAGTGTACCTAGTGTCTCAGTGTCCCGTGTCTCCCAGTGTCCCTGGTGTCTCTCAGTGTCCCCATGTCTCTCAGTGTCCCTAGTCTCCCAGAGTGCCCTAGTCAGTCTCTCAGAGTGCCCTAGTATCTCAGTGTGCCCATGTATCTCAGTGTCCCCATGTCTTTCCCAGTGTCTCAGTGTCCCCAAGTCTTACAGTGTCCCAATGTCTCTAAGTGTCCTAGTGACATCGGGACACTGGGAGACGTGGGACACAGACTCTAATGGACACTGGGAGAAATGGGGATACAAACACTAGCGGACACTGGGCACCATGGGGACACTGAGAGACATGGAGACACTAGGGGACACTGAGAGACATGGAGACACTAGGGGACACTGAGAGACATGGAGACACTGGGGGACACAGAGAGACATGGAGACACTGGGCGACTTTGAGACTTGGAAGATATGGGGCATTCCCAGTGTCCCCATGTTTCCCAGCCAGTGTCCATGGGCGTCCGCAGGGGGGGGGGCAAGAGGGGGCACTTGCCCCCCCCTGGATTTTTCAGCTTGTTCTGCTATTTTTCGTGTGATTGAAAATGAACTGCAATACCGGCGCCGGCCAGTAGGTGGCGCTGTGTATAGAGAGAGACAGGGATAGGAAGCTGCATCTTATCCCTGCTTCTCTCTGCTGATTGAAACCGCAGGGGAACAACACATGCAGCCAGAGACAGCCTACAGATCAGGTAAGTGGGGGGAGGGAGGAGGGTTTGAGATAGCCTATAGATTTTTTTTTTGGGGGGGGCAGCAGCCTATAGATTAGGGGAGTGAGGCTGGGGGGGCAGCAGCCTATAGATTAGGGGAGTGAGGCTGGGGGGGCAGCAGCCTATAGATTAGGAGAGTGAGGCTGGGGGGCAGCAGCCTGTAGATTAGGGGAGTGAGGCATGGGGGGGCAGCCTATAGATTAGGGAAGTGAGCATAGGTGTGCACAGCCTATTGCATTAGGGTGTGCACCCTAAAGCACAAACACACGCCATGTGTATATGTATATGTATGTGTGTGTATATGTATATGCATGTGTGTGTGTGTATATATATATATATATATATATATATATATACTGGTAGTGTGCTATGTGGGTGAGGGTGTTTTTGTGTGTGTTTGTGAGAGTGCTGTTAGTGTGCTGTGTGTGAGGGTGCTGTTTGTGTGGGAACTGGTAGTGTGCTGTGTGTGTTTGTGTGTGCGTGTTTGTTCGGGTCCTGTTAGTGTGTTGTGTGTTTGTCAGGGTGCTGTTTGTGTGTGGGTTTTGTGTGTTTGTGAGGATGCTGTTAGTGTGCTGGGTGTGTGTGGGTGCTGTGTGAGCGAGGGTGATGTATGTGTGTGTGTGCTGTGTGTAGGTGCTGTGTGTGTACTGTATGTTTGGGTGGAGGTGGGGGCAGATTAGTTAATATCCCAGTCCTGCTGCCTTCCCTGGTGGTTCAGTGGAGAGTGAACTCTAGCCCGGGTTCTCTGCTGCCTCCCTCCATGCTGCTGTGGACCGGTGAGGTAGAACTTTGATCTCCCCACCGGCCCATGGAGGCTTAGACCGGAGCTGCCGCTCGGATAGCGTCGGCTCTGCATGAGCCGACCGGGGAGACCCAGAGATCTCCCCTGCCGGTCTCAATCCATTGGCGTGCCGCGGGGATTAGGGTGTGCCCATGCACACCCGACACACCCCATGCACACGCCTATGGAAGTAAGGGATGGGGGAGACAGCCTACATGAAGAGTCAGCAAGGAGCAGGAAGGTAAAGTAAGAAAAGGAGAAGGAACAGAAATGAGCAGGAAGGGACATCAAGGAGCAGAAAGGGGCAGCAAGGAGCTGGAAGGGACAGCAAGGAGCACAAAAGGTAAAGTAGGAGAAGGAGCACAAAGGAACAGAAATGAACAGGAAGGGTCAGCAAGGAGCTGGAAGGTAAAGCAGCACAAAGGTAAAGTAGAAGGAGCAGAAAAGGTCAAAAATGAGCTGGAAGGGGCAGTAGGAGCACAAAGGTAAAATAGGAGAATGAGCAGGAAGGGCATGCAAAGAGCAGGAAGGGCCTGCAAGGAAGGAGCACAAAGGTAAAGGAGCAGAAAGAATCAGAAGGAGCACAAAGGTAAAGTAGGAGAAGGAGCACAAAGGAACAGCAAGGAGCACAAAGATAAAGTAGAAAAGGGAGCAGAAAGGGTCTGCAAGGAGCAGAAAGGGATCAGAATGAGAAAGAAGCAGAAGGGCGCAAAATAAGCAGAAAGTAGCAGAAAGGTAAAAGAGCAGAAGGGGCCAAGGATAGAAAACAGTGTCAGAAGATAAAAAAAGACTGTCAAATGAAGGAGAGGAAAAGGAGATTGGAGCAGGAAGGACAAATGAAGTGAACCCTCCACTTTATTCTGGACACCACATCATAAGGCTTTGGTACCTGGGCCAGGCAGGGAAACGCTGGACCTTCTCATCTCCAAAGGTAAAAAATATCAGTATTAATGTGTTCACTTTTATTTACTGAGTGTCAGGAAGCACAGAGTGCCATTGGGTAGGGGTGTTGCTGATTGGCTAGAGCGGTCAGCTGGCACTCTAAGCCAATCAGTAGCTCCCCATTCATAAAAAAGTAAAAATATTTTATGAACTGGGAACTAGCGATTGGCTTAGAGCGTCAACTGTCCACTCTAGCCAATCAGCGGCACCCATGCCTGACGTCAATCTACACTTCCTGACACTCTGTTTCAGAAGCCAAATACCACTGAGCGACCTGGAGCTGGAGGAAGCCTTTGGGGTTAAACCATTTGAGAGTGATTTAACCCCTTAAAGGAAAGCGAGCACCCAGGGTCTTCCTGGCATCATAGCATTTTCATTTAGGTGAAGTTGTTATGGTGACCAGAATGGTCCTTTATTTTGCTTAAAGGAAGACTATAGTGTCAGGAATACAAACATATATTCCTGACACCACAGTTGTGAAAACGCTATTCACCCTGGCTTTATGTGATAATGGCTATGCCACTTCCCTTTAATGACACTGTCAAAAAGGTACCAAGCATGGATGTCATTACAATTATGCCCCCCCCTGGAAAAATTCCTGCGGACGCCCATGCCAGTGTCCCCAGTATCTCAAGATCCCCATGTGTCCCTGGTGACTCTCAGTGTCCGTAGTGTGCCACTGTCCCTAGTGTCTCAGTGTTTCCTAGTCTAGCAAAGTCCCCTAGTCTCCCAGTGACTCAATGTCCCCATGTCTCCTAGTGTCTCAGTGTCCCCTAGTATAAAGAAAAAATCTCAGGCACTCACTGTGATAGATTAAGGCAGGTTTATTGGACACCGCAACATTTTGACCTGTACCCAGGTCTTTATCAAGTATCCAGTGTCCCCTATATATCAGTGACCCATGCCTCCCAGTGTCCCCTCATGTCTCAAAGTCACCCAGTGTCCCCAGGTCTCCCAGTGTTCCCTAGTATCTCAGTGTCCCCATGTCTCCCAGTGTCCCAATGTCTCTTAATGTCCCCTAGTGACATGGGGACACTGGGAGACATGGGGACACAGACACTAAGGGACTGGGAGACATGGGGACATACAGTGTATGTTCGCCCCTTTTGGCAGTTCTGGTTATGTGATTTGTGTCAGTGGCCCACCCTTTTACCCCATCCAAAGACTTCCTGCTTTACTGGACACTGCTTTTAAGGGGTATAGGAATACTTGAAAGATGAAAGCGTGAGATTAGCATAGGGTATGTGTTTTCTTATAGCTGCATCCTATGAGTTTCCCTCCAGCACCATCTCCATCAGATACATGACTCTTAGGAGGTAGGACTGTTTTAGTGTTTTTGGTCAATACCATTTTGTAATTAGGTGTCAGCACCAGGCCCACTGGGCTCTTAATCTGGCCCTGTGTACAGCTGTGGGAAAGGGAAATCAGAGATCTCCTTTCTCCGTGGCACACTTGTATAGCTGGAGAGGAAGGCTCTCTATCTGCTCCTCTGCTGGTTCCTTCCTCTCCATCAAGCCCATACACTTACACTACGTTCCCTAAACACACAGATTACACCATCCACAAACACTACATAGTCTACCGCTGCTCTAAGTGTCTGCAGGATGGTGGTGGAATGGATGGCGGACCCTGTAGGTAGACTCATGGCTGGACTCAGGGATGGGTTCTGAACAGACTTAGGATGGGCCTCAGATAAGTAAAGAGCCCAAACATTTCTGATGGCAGCCCTGTTCACATAGGATGAATTTGAATATAGAAACCAGTTATAAAAGAATGAAAAACAATAATATAAATGGTAATTGGTTACACAAGCAGATTGTTTTTGCGATATGCCCGTTATCTCCCCGTTAATGAATTGCTAGAGAGACATCATTTTTTCTTGCAATAACATTGTTGCACCCTGCTCTCCTGCGACAAACGTTATTTCGGTCAGGAAAACAACAGAAACACCTGCATCCGGCAGCTCTACTCTCTTCTCTTTTCTTCTTATTCTGAAAAAAATAAATAAAAAATTTAATTATATTAAATATATGTAAATATTGAATAACATTAGATATTATATATAAAATTCCAAATTTTAAATTAAATTGGATATTTTAAGACTTTAATTCTGAAATATTCTATAATGCATTTAATCTAGCGATAACACAATGCAGAGGACACCAGATTCTGGATAGGGAGTTATATCTACACAATCAGTTTCATTTTACCCTTATCTAATTAATCTTTTTAAAACTTATTTTTTTCTCTTCACGTATTTACTTCTTTTTTTTCCTTCCCCCCCTCAAGGGACTATATTTATCTCAATTAAGTTGTTTTGGTTGTTGATGTCCCTCTTAAGATGTTAAACCATTATTGAACGATTTAACACATAAGATGCTCTCTGATCCCTTTCCTGTTTGGCCGTCATACTGAGCAGAGAAAAGAATACGTAAGAAAGATTGGACACCAGTGATTTGCTGAGAGTGTCAGCTTATCATATACCTGTCTACCATGCACCACTCTTGCTGTGGCATCCATGATTCTGTTGCGTACCGCGTATGAGAAGCCGCACGATGTCATCAAGGTAACAGAGAGTTCGCACCTTAAAGACGCAGTCTTAAAGATGAAGGATGCTGCATACGTGTGCCCATATATGACAATTACTAGTTACATTATACCCTCTGCTGCCTCATTTTGGCAATGCCTTCCCTGTTAGTTTTGATCTTACAGTAATTTCACTATCCAATACTATTGCACTATACCTTATAAAGCCCTGTTCTCATTGGTTTATTGCCCTTTAGTGATTATTTCTAATGGACATTTGTCTGGTTTACCACGACAGCCATTATTATTGATCTGGCAATTTTGGGTTATGTTTCCTGTGTGGTCGGAATTATAACATTTGTGCTGTGTTTTTACCTTGGGTTGGTAATATCACAGAAACTTTGGAAAATTGATTTAATAAAACACTAAATATACATAGAACAGTGAACCGGTAAACCACAACCTTCAACTAGAACACTTTATCTGTACAGTCAATGTTCATAACATCCAGGGTGAGGTCCAGATTCAAAAGGACATCTGGAGGGCAGCCTCTGGAAAAGTAACCAATGGTTGTAGATCACCAGTGAAAAGTTGTTGCTGATCATTCTAATGTTCTGTGTCATTTTTGGGCACAGAAGTTTATTTCTCAGGACACTCAGGTGGACACCAGCTACAGGCAAGATATCTTCAGCGTCTGAATACTACGATGGTATTTTAACTATTGAAGATCTATATGCTCATATATTCTACATGGCGACAAACTGTGCCACCCACTTATAGATGAACTTTGAAAACGCTTTTGCCAACGCATTTTATTGTGATGGCTGGTATCCATTTATCCAGCCCACGGTAGAATCTAATCTATACTCTATTATGAATATCAAACTCTGGAACTCCCTTTTTGGATGTTTAAGTCAAACTTGTGCAAGAGGAGTTCCCAGGCAACCTCCAAACAGAGTGTGAAAAGTCAATTGTGGCATGTGGTGTAATGCAATAGTTATAAAAAAAAAATCCAAAGTGTATTTGGCTTAAATTGTGTTTTCTGAGATACAGATTGTAACGGATCACCTGGCACCCCGACTGGATACCTCCCTTGAAGGATGCTCCTAGCGCATCCTGAGGGCTCCAAGCACTTTAGCCGACACCACAACCACCGCAGACCGAACCTCTCTTCCTTCAGAGCGAAGCAGGAACAAGCTCTTAAAAGATTAACATTAATGAAAAACCCTTAGTTTGCTCTATTTCGAGCAATCGAAGAGTGTGACCACAGTTTGGTTATTGTTGGTAATTACTTGTTGAGAAAGAGATGCCGTGCAACTTCCCCCCCCAAAATACTTCTCATTGGAATGTTGTCATCATTTGTTACATTGAAGTCATATTTTGCGTCACAAATAACTCTCCAAGATTCTGGATCTGCCTCGGCTACGGGAAATGTACTGCCACTGTTAAACGGCCTATTACTACCAATCAATCAATAAATCAAACTTTTGGTATAACTCTCATCATGCTCAGCCATGAATTCCCCTGGAAAAATGCATTGTAAATTTCAGACTATGCCTGGTAAAATACTAGACAGTAATCAGGTCCGTACGGCCAAATTACTAATAATTAAGGTATAAAAACTAAACTTAAAAAAAAAAAAAGGCAAATTGTATAGTCTATAAACCAAGCTCCAGTCATCCTAACTATACTTCGTTTTATGTAACAGAGAAACGTACGTTTTGATACAAAGTGTCGCAGGTAATGAGAATTTTCCTCTCTCCGTCTTCAGGGAAAATGGATGCTGTGCACTGCTTTACCACCTATGTTGGAGACACAGTTATAACACAGTAAATACAAGGACAGGGCAGGGTCTGAGACATGAAGAACTTTCTAATAGGATGATTTAGACCAGGGGTGCCCAAAAGGCAGATCCACAGATCGGGGCCCTGACGATCTGAGACTTAAGATTTATCTTACTAGTATCTTTGATCAGTAACCATTTGTTTAGCGTCTCGGATCCTGAGTTCAATTTACCGCTATCATCAATTATTACTTTCGGTGCCACTGGGACATTTGTTTCTATTATCATATATCTAGTTAAATCACTAGACAGTTAATATATATTTTACCAGCTTAGATGGAAACCCCTCTTTTTTCCCCCTCTTATTAATAGCGAAGAAGCATTTTGTATGCACGGAGGCTGTATTGCTATTTTGACTTATTATTATATACCGATCTAAATATTTCGACAGACATTTTTTCTGTCATGATTTCATGTTACAACAGTGTATTGCAAAACTGTGTTTTTGCACATATTAATAGGCAACGGTCTCTGAAAACTTATGAACAGGACCTTTTAATGAGTATATATTTATTTACCAGGCGAGTTATCTACAATCCTCTCTTTGATCAACAACTAGCTTTGTTACATTGTTTAGATACTATTACGTTTATATTTATATCTCGACACAGATTTGGCGTCTTTATAGGTAACGCTACTTCATACAGCCACGGAGGATCTCAATTTGTACATACTTTAGATGTTTATTAGAACTATTTTGTATATACTTTAGTTGATATGGATTTATATTACTGTCCATATAACAGATTATAAATCTAGTGATTTGCAAAATCAATTTCTGCATACATCACCAGATTAAGGTCTCTGGATACTTTAGAACAGGACCTTTTTTCTTTACTTTGTTTGTGTATATACTTAAGCTGATCACTTTTGGAGCATTACTCCTACTATGGACACTCTTAACAGATTTTAAGCTCATTATTAAAAGTTATATTTTAATTACGTTTAGGGCACTCATTTCTCTCTTTTTTCAGTAGATCCACAGATGTTTTAAAACGACAGCTTCCATTATGCTTTGCCGTTGTAAAGGCATTCTAAAGGCAAGCTAAGATTTAGGGAATTGAAGTTCTACAACATCTGGGGATCTACCTTTTGGGCACCCCTGATTTAGGGTATTTTGTTTTCCTGGTTATGTTTCCACTGCATACTTTATTTCTTTATATATTTTGTGAATATTACAAATATGGAAATTATGTAATTGAAACTCAATAAGGGGTCAACTGGTAAACAAAATATTCAAAGAAATGCATTCTCAACAAGTGTTATGTTAAACAAATCAAATGAAAAAACAGAAAATGAACAAAATAAAACAAACTAGAAAAGTTACAATTTCTGGGGAAATTGTGTGAAGTGTTCTTGCCTCCACCTGTAGTCTACAACTGGAGTGGGCGGAGTAACTGTTATCATTTACATAGCACATTTAATTGCAACGTTGTTGCTCAGTTACATTAAACCATACATTTATAAAAACATTAGCAGGTGTTCAAAAGGCCCTGTCTATGACATCACTTGCTGCTGCAGCTTGACAGGTCAGAGTATTTTGACGGTTGCCATCTTCAAACGGTCGTATCTTAAAAACTATAACTCCTACAGTGAAGAGCTTTATATTGTGAGAATCACAAGACCCAGACCTACATTTCGATGCATAGTATGTCTCTGAAGTATTAAAAATGAAGGCACAGTCGCAGTGTAGAAATTGCACTTCAAATTTGAGCTTTGCAGAGTGAAGTTTCAATGAAAGTCAATGGACGGCATTATTATTATTATTATTATTATTTTATTATTTATATAGCGCCAACAAATTCCGTAGCGCTGTACAATTGGGTGGACTAACAGACACATAGTTGCAAACAAATGATTATATTGTGAAAACTATCAGGACTATGGCTTAGCCGTTGACATGTTTAGTGGCAGCAGGCATAGCTGAACGTTTTGATATAAGATTTGTGTAGGTGGGCCTGAAAATAAGGGAGTGGAGGCAGTTTAGAAATCATGTCCTGATTTTTCAGCTTTTGGCAGCTCCCACTCTAGCTTTGCCATTCATTCCTATGGGACAAATTTCGCCACAAAAACGACGATATTCCGTGAACAATCTGCACGTTTTGGTAAATTTTTGTCTATGTAGTGTAAAAACTGTGGGAGGAGTTAGGGTGGCAAATTTTGCTATAATAAGAATAATAATAATATATATGTGAGATAACATTAAGTGGTCTTGCTATGCAAGAACACTTAATAAAGTATCCAGAGATCCTACTGGAAAGCATTGGATTGGTTGTGATCATCAATTGTGATGATCTCAGCCAAGGAAATGTGGTGGAGCCAAACACTGCACTGGCCAATCAGCATCTCCTCATTGTTATAGTTACATAGTTACATAGGCTGAAAAGAGACATGTGTCCATCAAGTTCAGCCTTCCTCACATCAGATTTTTGCTGTTGATCCAAGAGAAGGCAAAAAAACCCAGTTTAAAATACTTCCAATTTTGCAACAAACTAGGAAAATAATTCCTTCTGGACCACTTGCTATTACCCTACAAATAAAAATGATATAATTAAATATTATGTTTTTGCCAGTATACATCTTGTTGCTGGATCTGTACAGATCCTGATAAAACCACTTCTTCAGACAGAGAATTCCACATTCTTTTTGTTCTTACTGTAAAAAAAAAAAAATCTTTCCTTTGCCTTAGGCTAAATTTTCTTTTTTCCAGTCTAAACCTCATGACCTCGTGTCCTTTGTATAGTCCTGTTTGTGAATAGATTTCCACACAATTGTTTGTATTGGCCCCGGATATATTTGTATAATGTTATTATATCCCCTCTGAGGCACAGTTTTTCTAAATTAAAGAGGTTTAAATTTGTTAACCTTTCTATATAGCCAAATTGTTCCATTCCTTTTATTCATTTTGTAGTCCGCCTCTGCACTCTTTCTAGTGCCATCAGCAGGGCATTCTTTAACGCGGGGCAAACGAGGCAGCTGCCCTGGGCCCAGTGACTTCAGGGGACCCAAAGCAGCTGCCCCGTGGGCCCCGCTACTCTCAAGAACCCCCCCCCATTGCCGACAGCATGGGCCCCACACACTGAGTAGGCCCACCAGGTGGCCCATGCACTTAGGTCCACCCATTGGGTTGTTTTTAGCAGGTGCCCGGTCACGCTCTAAAAACAGTGCGACCTGCCCCTTGCTTTTCAGCAGCCATCTGGGAGGAAGTGACAGCCGCGAGTCACTTCCTCCCATAAAGAGAGGAGTCATGCAGGAGGGGGCAGAAGGAGGTATGTCTGTCAGTGTATGTGTGTGTGCCAGTATGCCTGTCAGTGTATGCATCAATATGTCTACCAGTGTATGTGTCTGTGTATCTGTATGTGTGTGTGCATCTTTATGTGTGTATCTGTATGTTATCAGTGTGTGTATCTGTAGTATCTATATGTAGTCAGTGTATATACCTGTGTGTATGAGCATCTGCATGTGTGTCAGGTTGTGTATCTGTTTGTCTGTATCTGCGTCAGTTTATGTGTCTGTATCAGCAAGTGTGTCAGTGTGTATATCTGTGTATCTGCATGTTTTTCAGTGAGTATCTGAGGAGGTATGCACCAAAACTGTGAGGGAGTGCGACTGCTCTAACAACACACTGGACCACCAGAGAGTCCACCAGCAGCCCACCGGACCACCAGGGAGTCCACCAGCAGCCCACCGGGCCAACAGGGATTCCATATTTAAGAGCAGGCAGGAAGATCTCCCTATTCTCCCTGCTAGCTGGAAGGGGGGCCAAAATCTAATAGAACACCGGTGTTCTATCATATTTCCCTACGGGTAGGGACATTTTGCAGAGTAGGGAAATCTGATAGGACACTGGGGCCCCTCCTCCCCCCCACCTTGTTTCTTGCAGCTACTCCTTTTGGCTATTGATGGATTCCGCAGAGCGAGGGATCAATGCTCCTTCACTGCGCTGAATCCGCTGATAGGTTAAATTAATAGAGAGGTGTGGGGCCCGGGCTCTCCAGGAACACCGGGCCCGTGACAACTGTCATGATTGTCACCACCTGTTGGCAGCCCTTTGTCATAATATCCTTCTTAAGACAGGTACCCAAAATTGCACAGCATATTCAAGATGTGGTCTTGCCAGTTATTTATAGAGGCAAAATTATATTCTCATCCCGAGAATTTATGCCCCTATTTATACATGACAAAACCTTACTGGCCTTAGCCACTGCTGATTGACATTGCACATTGCTGCCTAGTTTGTTGTCTGTAACAATTCCCAAATCCTTCAAAAGATTGGTTACATTGCTTTTGAGACCGTCTGGTAGTCCTGGAATAAGAATTACCCCCATGATGGCATACCATTTGCAAAAGTAGACAACCCAAGGTATTGCAAATGGGGTATGTCCAGTCATTTTTACTAGCCACTTAGTCACAAACACTGGCCAAATATTAGTTTTTTGCTTTTTTCACACAAAAACAAATATGAACGCTAACTTTGCCCAGTGTTTGTTACTAAGTGGCTACTACAAAAGACTGGACATACCCCACTTGCAATACCTTGGGTTGTCTACTTTTGCAGATGGTATGCCGTCATGGGGGGTAAATCTCATTCCTAGGCTACCAGACGGTCTCAAAGGTAACATTACTAATCTGGCAAATTTCAATGTGAAAAAACAGAAAAATGGAATGTGCTACATTTAACTCTGTAACTTTCCAAAACACTGTAAAAACTGTTAATGGGGGATACTGTTGTACTCGTGAGACTTTGTTGAATCTAAATATGTGTTTTTGTTGCAGTAAAAGCTAACAGTATTATGACATTTACAGCTAAAATGTGAGGCAGAGCTACACATTTTTAAAACTTTTTGAAATTTCTCACAGTTTTTTTTATTTTATTCATGATAAATTATGTTTCATATATGAATAGTTCATTAGAAATGAAAGCCCTGTTTCTCCTGAATAAAATGATATATAATTCCAAATTATATATTATATAAATTCCAGATTTTGTTTACATTCTGTTTTGATCAGAACGTGTACTATTGACTCCATCCTGAAGGGGTTAATGTCTAAACCATTGGCGACAAAAGTGAGTACACACCTAAGTGGAAATCTCCACATTGAGCCCAATTAGCCATTTTCCCTCCTTGGTGTCATGTGACTCGTTAGTGTTACAAGGTCTCAGATGTGAATGGGGAGCAGGTGTGTTAAATTTGGTGTTATCGCTCTCACACCTTCTCATACTGGTCTCTGGAAGTTCAACATGGCACCTCATGGCAAAGAACTTTCTGAGGATCTGAAAAAAAGAATTGTTGCTCTACATAAAGATGGCTTAGGGTATATGAAGATTGCCAAGACCCTGAAACTGAGCTGCAGCAGGGTGGGCAAGACCATATAGAGGTTTCACAGGACAGGTTCCACTCAGAACAGGCCTCGCTATGGTCGACCAAAGAAGTTGAGTGCTCAGTGTCATATCCAGAGGTTGTCTTTGGGAAATAGAAGTATGAGTGCTGCCAGCATTGCTGCAGAGGTTGAAGGGGTGGGGGACAGCCTGTCATTGTTCAGACCATACGCTGCACACGGCATCAAATTGGTCTGCATGGCTGTCATCCCAGAAGGAAGCCTCTGCTAAAGATGATGCACAAGAAAGCCCGCAAACAGTTTGCTGAAGACAAGCAGACTAAGGACATGGATTACTGGAACCATGTCCTGTGGTCCGATGAGACCAAGATAAACTTATTTGGTTCAGATGGTGTCAAGCGTGTGTGGCGGCAACCATTTGAGGAGTACAAAGACAAGTTGTGCCTACAGTCAAGCATGGTGGTGGGAGTGTCAAGGTCTGGGCCTACGTAAGTGCTGCTGGCACTATGGAGCTACAGTTCATTGAGAGAACCATAAATGCCAACATGTACTGTGACATACTAAAGCAGAGCATGATCCCCTCCCTTCGGACACTGGGCCGCAGGGCAGTATTCCAACATGATAATGACCCCAAACACACCTCCAAAACCACCACTGTCTTGTTAAAGAAGCTGAAGCTAAAGATGATGGACTGGCCAAGCATGTCTCCAGACCTAAACCCTATTGAGCATCTGTGGGGCATCGTCAAATGGAAGGTGGGGGAGCGCAAGGTCTCTAACATCCACCAGCTCCAGGATGTCATCATGGAGGAGTGGAAGAGGACTCCAGTGGCAACCTGCAAGCTCTGGTGAACTCAATGCCCATGAGGGTTAAGGCAGTGCTTGAAAATAATGGTGACCACACAAAACATTGACACTTTGGGCCCAATTTGTACATTTCCACTTAGGGGTGTAATCACTTTTGTTGCCAACGGTTTAGACATTAATGGCTGTGTGTTGAGTTATTTTGAGGGGGCAGAAAATTTACACTGTTATACAGGCTGTACACTTACTACTTTACATTGTAGCAGAATGTAATTTCTTCAGTGTTGTCACATGAAAAGATATAATAAAATATATACAAAAATGTGAGGGGTGTACTTACTTTTGTGAGATACTGTATGTGTGTATGTATGTGTGTATGTATATTTATGGATATACAGGGTGGGCCACAATTGAGAGTAGGGTTTGTGGAGTAAATAACTTTTTTTATTATTAACCAATTTCAATAATATTACATGAATGTTTAACGAATGGAGATTAGTTTGGCTAGGTACAAACGTGACATATTTTAAATGAGCTCCATTTGACGCCTCTCAAAGCCGGGTTCTTTTCAATTGCATTGTTCATAACATTAGTTAATGTTTGTGGCTCCAGCATTCGAATTTCTGCACTAATATTCTCCTTAAAGGGACACTGTAGGCACCCAGACCACTTCAGCTAATTGAAGTAGTCTGGGTGCTGTGACCCTTTTGCATTTAGTGCTGCAATGTAAAACATTTCAGTTCCAGAGAATTGCAATGTTTACATTGCAGCTCTAAGTCTGCCCCCTGTGGCTATCTAACAGACAGCCACTAGAGGGTTTCCGGAATCCAAACAGACTTTTGGTCCGTCATCTGACACTGCGCGTCCTCACGGACCTCCAGCGTCAGATTTTCCTATGGGGAGGTCTAATGCGCATTAGGTCTCCCCGCCGGCTGATGTTGACGGGGGAGGAGCATGGGCGGAGCCTGACTCAGCGCTAAGGAACAACAGCATTGGATTCAGGTAAGTGGCTGAAGGGGTTTTAACTCCAAGAACATATATTGCCAGGAAAACTATTTTTTTTTCCTGGTACTATAGGTCACCTTTAAATTGCTCAAGTGTATGCAGTTTGTTTACGTACACCTACTCCTTCAGATATCCCCACAGGAAGTAATCAGGAGCTGAAAGGTCGGTCAAATGTGGCAGCCAATTAATCTGAGAACTTCTTCAAAATTATCCGCTCACTGAACAGTTAATCAAGGAGGCCCAATGTGGTCTTAGTCACATTGGTGGTAGCACATACAGTTTGTCTTGCCATAACATGGCATAATACTCAGATTCTGTATGTTATACACCTGTCTGCCATTGCTCAGACATTACATCACACTTTAGCATACCTACCAGCATTTCAAATGGACGAAGGGTTGTTCTCTGTGAGGGTGTGGCCAGGGTCGGGGCTGTTCTGAGAAATTTTAGGTGACTTACTAAAAACAATTTATACAACTAAAATGTAATTTAGAAGAATAACAATGTATCTTATTTCCACAGTATTATTGCTGCGGAACTCTGTTATGCACTCAGACACGGAGCTCATAGCTCATAGAAATTAGGTAAATAATGATAGAAAAGAGGAACAGGGGCATTTGGGTCAAAAATAGGTACTGTCACTTTTAAATAGGGACACTTTGAGAAATCCTTGTGTCCATCTACCTCATATTCTATATTACCCTACATCTTTACATCCTGTTTCATTATCACAACTTCGAACTCTGCAATGTTTATCATTTGAGAACTATCTACATGGCCTGTGCTAAATATTGCAGAAATATGAACAGAGAGATTTATAGTAATGGGTTTTTTTTAAGTTCAGGGTAAATAAACACTTTTGACCCTTCTATTTATTATTAATAGTTAAGAACACGTACAAGAATTAATTAAAAAACTAATTTGGCATATGGGAACAAGAGATTAGAAGGGCCCTGCTTAGATAAATTTACCTATAACAATTATAATTTCTTTTCTTCTGATTGCATTTGGGAATGTATGTTAATCTATTTCTATAAGTTATATTATCATTATATTCTATAATCATTTATACATAAATATAATATTTTTGGTTTTTAGTATATTTTAAACAAGATAAGTATTTTTTTTAATAAAACTACTATCTCCAAATAATGGATTTATCTCCACAGTTTTTTATCCCTCGAAGAATCACACCATTTTGAGTTATTAACAGAGTTTAGGTGATTTTTAAGTGTTGATAATAAGAGCAGGTAACTTACTCCGTCCTCTTTGAAAGCACACGGCTTGTTGATGTTTTCCTCTGATTTCTTACACCGTGTCTCCTTTATTATGAAAGTGAGTTGTTGGAAGGTTGGATCTTTGTCCTATTCATGAAATAAATGAAGAATTTGACTAGTAGGCTCAGTACGCAGGTCACATGTAATGATAAATATCCTGCTAAGTATCTAATAAATACAATAATTACATGGTTATTGTATACATACTGCACTCAGACAAAATCTACAATAACGTTATTCTAAGGTTCTGCCAGTGTCACCGATATAGCCTGAATAATCTTAATAAATGTCACTGTCACTGGTTAATTCCATCTAATAATAAGTGGTTTGAATTTATCTGTCACTTTCTTTCTATATCTGTCTGTTTATCTATCTACCTACTTGCACTTGCTACCTGTGTTATACTCTGAATTTGTCAATTTTTCTGTCTGTCCTTGCTATCTGCGTCTCAGTTTGTCTGTGTCAGTGTGTGTCTCTGTCTCTGTCTCTTCCTATTTGTCTCTGTTACTTTGTTACAGCATTAGTAAATTGTATGGTGCAGTGTATAATATAGACCAGTCACGATACTTACTATTAATGTTCCATGTTCGGTGCCATCTAGCTGGAAGATTGAGTCCTCACTGGATCCATTGTTGTAGTAGTCAGTGCAGACTATTGCCAGGGCTGATATGTTCTGATTAGTCTCAGGAATTGTGGGTAGATAAGCAGTGGTTACCCCTGAGCTCACCCCAAGTGTAAGGATAATCTTCAGAAAGCCGTCCATGGTCACTCAGTGACATACAGCCCATGGACTGCTTTTATATATCTTGCAACCGTTTTTTTCCCCCTTCCAGTTGTCGCAATATGGTTTTCTTAAGAAACAACCCACAAACAGCCAGTGCTGGGAAACATGTTTTGATCTTGAATTTTGAATTTTGCATTAACTGTATCCAGTTATTCTTTGCTGTCTCTGTATCTAGTTATTCTTTGCTGTCTGTGTATCTAGTTATTCTTTGCTGTCTGTGTATCTAGTTATTCTCTGCTGTCTCTTTATCTGGTTATTCTTTGCTGTCTGTGTATCTAGTTATTCTCTGCTGTCTCTTTATCTGGTTATTATTTGCTGTCTATGTATCTAATTATTCCTTGCTGTCTCTTTATCTGGTTATTCTTTGCTGTCTGTGTATCTAGTTATTCTTTGCTGTCTGTGTGTATCTAGTTATTCTTTGCTGTCTCTTTATCTGGTTATTCTTTGCTGTCTGTGTATCTAGTTATTCTTTGCTGTCTGTGTATCTAGTTATTCTTTGCTGTCTTTGTGTATCTAGTTATTCTTTGCTGTCTCTGTATCTAGTTATTCCTTGCTGTCTGTCTATCTAGTTATTCTTTGCTGTCTCTGTATCTAGTTATTCTTTGCTGTCTGTGTATCTAGTTATTCTTTGCTGTCTCTTTATCTGGTTATTATTTGCTGTCTGTGTGTATCTAGTTATTCTTTGCTGTCTCTGTATCTAGTTATTCTTTGCTGTCTCTGTATCTAGTTATTCTTTGCTGTCTGTGTATCTAGTTATTCTTTGCTGTCTCTTTATCTGGTTATTCTTTGCTGTCTGTGTGTATCTAGTTATTCTCTGCTGTCTCTTTATCTGGTTATTCTTTGCTGTCTCTGTATCTGGTTATTCTTTGCTGTCTCTGTATCTAGTTATTCTTTGCTGTCTCTGTATCTAGTTATTCTTTGCTGTCTGTGTGTATCTAGTTATTCTTTGCTGTCTCTGTATCTAGTTATTCTTTGCTGTCTCTGTATCTAGTTATTCGCTGCTGTCTCTTTATCTGGTTATTCTTTGCTGTCTGTGTATCTAGTTATTCTTTGCTGTCTGTGTATCTAGTTATTCTCTGCTGTCTCTTTATCTAGTTATTCTTTGCTGTCTCTGTATCTAGTTATTCTTTGCTGTCTTTGTATCTAGTTATTCTTTGCTGTCTGTGTATCTAGTTATTCTTTGCTGTCTGTGTATCTAGTTATTCTCTGCTGTCTCTTTATCTGGTTATTATTTGCTGTCTATGTATCTAATTATTCCTTGCTGTCTCTTTATCTGGTTATTCTTTGCTGTCTCTGTATCTAGTTATTCTTTGCTGTCTGTGTATCTAGTTATTCTCTGCTGTCTCTTTATCTGGTTATTCTTTGCTGTCTGTGTATCTAGTTATTCTTTGCTGTCTGTGTATCTAGTTATTCTCTGCAGTCACTTTATCTGGTTATTCTTTGCTGTCTGTGTATCTAGTTATTCTTTGCTGTCTCTGTATCTAGTTATTCTTTGCTGTCTGTGTATCTAGTTATTCTCTGCTGTCTCTTTATCTGGTTATTCTTTGCTGTCTCTGTATCTAGTTATTCTTTGATGTCTGTGTATCTAGTTATTCTTTGCTGTCTGTGTATCTAGTTATTCTTTGCTGTCTCTGTATCTAGTTATTCTTTGCTGTCTTTGTGTATCTAGTTATTCTTTGCTGTCTCTGTATCTAGTTATTCTTTGCTGTCTTTGTATCTAGTTATTCTTTGCTGTCTCTGTATCTAGTTATTCTTTGCTGTCTCTGTATCTAGTTATTCTTTGCTGTCTGTGTATCTAGTTATTCTTTGCTGTCTTTGTGTATCTAGTTATTCTTTGCTGTCTCTGTATCTAGTTATTCTTTGCTGTCTTTGTATCTAGTTATTCTTTGCTGTCTCTGTATCTAGTTATTATTTGCTGTCTCTGTATCTAGTTATTCTTTGCTGTCTGTGTATCTAGTTATTCTTTGCTGTCTGTGTATCTAGTTATTCTTTGCTGTCTGTGTGTATCTAGTTATTCTTTGCTGTCTCTGTATCTGGTTATTCTTTGCTGTCTCTGTATCTAGTTATTCTTTGCTGTCTTTGTATCTAGTTATTCTTTGCTGTCTGTGTGTATCTAGTTATTCTTTGCTGTCTGTGTGTATCTAGTTATTCTTTGCTGTTTGTGTATCTAGTTATTCTTTGCTGTCTGTGTATCTAGTTATTCTTTGCTGTCTATGTATTTAGTTATTCTTTGCTGTCTCTGTATCTAATTATTCTTTGCTGTCTGTGTATCTAGTTATTCTTTGCTGTCTCTGTATCTAGTTATTCTTTGCTGTCTGTGTATCTAGTTATTCTTTGCTGTCTCTGTATCTAGTTATTCTTTACTGTCTGTGTGTATCTAGTTATTCTTTGCTGTCTCTGTATCTAGTTATTCTTTGCTGTTTGTGTATCTAGTTATTCTTTGCTGTCTGTGTATCTAGTTATTCTCTGCTGTCTCTTTATCTGGTTATTATTTGCTGTCTATGTATCTAATTATTCCTTGCTGTCTGTGTATCTAGTTATTCTTTGCTCTCTGTGTATCTAGTTATTCTTTGCTGTCTGTGTATCTAGTTATTCTCTGCTGTCTGTGTATCTTGTTATTCTCTGCTGTCTCTTTATCTGGTTATTCTTTGCTGTCTGTGTATCTAGTTATTCTTTGCTGTCTTTGTGTATCTAGTTATTCTTTGCTGTCTGTGTATCTAGTTATTCTTTGCTGTCTATGTATCTAGTTATTCTTTGCTGTCTCTGTATCTAGTTATTCTTTGCTGTCTTTGTGTATCTAGTTATTCTTTGCTGTCTCTGTATCTAGTTATTCTTTGCTGTCTCTGTATCTAGTTATTCTTTGCTGTCTTTGTATCTAGTTATTCTTTGCTGTCTCTGTATCTAGTTATTATTTGCTGTCTGTGTATCTAGTTATTCTTTGCTGTCTTTGTGTATCTAGTTATTCTTTGCTGTCTTTGTATCTAGTTATTCTTTGCTGTCTCTGTATCTAGTTATTCTTTGCTGTCTGTGTGTATCTGGTTATTCTTTGCTGTCTCTGTATCTAGTTATTCTTTGCTGTCTGTGTGTATCTAGTTATTCTTTGCTGTCTGTGTATCTAGTTATTCTTTGCTGTCTCTGTATCTAATTATTCTTTGCTGTCTGTGTATCTAGTTATTCTTTGCTGTCTCTGTATCTAGTTATTCTTTGCTGTCTGTGTATCTAGTTATTCTTTGCTGTCTCTGTATCTAGTTATTCTTTACTGTCTGTGTGTATCTAGTTGTTCTTTGCTGTCTGTGTGTATCTAGTTATTCTTTGCTGTCTCTGTATCTAGTTATTCTTTGCTGACTCTGTATCTAGTTATTCTTTGCTGTCTGTGTGTATCTAGTTATTCTTTGCTGTCTGTGTGTATCTAGTTATTCTTTGCTGTCTCTGTATCTAGTTATTCTTTGCTGTCTGTGTATCTAGTTATTCTTTGCTGTCTCTGTATCTGGTTATTCTTTGCTGTCTCTGTATCTAGTTATTCTTTGCTGTCTCTTTATCTGGTTATTCTTTGCTGTCTCTGTATCTAGTTATTCTTTGCTGTCTGTGTATCTAGTTATTCTTTGCTGTCTCTGTATCTAGTTATTCTTTGCTGTCTGTGTATCTAGTTATTCTCTGCTGTCTCTTTATCTGGTTATTCTTTGCTGTCTGTGTATCTAGTTATTCTTTGCTGTCTTTGTGTATCTAGTTATTCTTTGCTGTCTCTGTATCTAGTTATTTTTTGCTTTCTGTGTATCTAGTTATTCTTTGCTGTCTCTGTATCTAGTTATTCTTTACTGTCTGTGTGTATCTAGTTGTTCTTTGCTGTCTGTGTGTATCTAGTTATTCTTTGCTGTCTCTGTATCTAGTTATTCTTTGCTGACTCTGTATCTAGTTATTCTTTGCTGTCTGTGTGTATCTAGTTATTCTTTGCTGTCTGTGTGTATCTAGTTATTCTTTGCTGTCTCTGTATCTAGTTATTCTTTGCTGTCTGTGTATCTAGTTATTCTTTGCTGTCTCTGTATCTGGTTATTCTTTGCTGTCTCTGTATCTAGTTATTCTTTGCTGTCTCTTTATCTGGTTATTCTTTGCTGTCTCTGTATCTAGTTATTCTTTGCTCTCTGTGTATCTAGTTATTCTTTGCTGTCTGTGTATCTAGTTATTCTTTGCTGTCTGTGTATCTAGTTATTCTCTGCTGTCTCTTTATCTGGTTATTCTTTGCTGTCTGTGTATCTAGTTATTCTTTGCTGTCTTTGTGTATCTAGTTATTCTTTGCTGTCTGTGTATCTAGTTATTCTTTGCTGTCTGTGTATCTAGTTATTCTTTGCTGTCTATGTATCTAGTTATTCTTTGCTGTCTCTGTATCTAGTTATTCTTTGCTGTCTTTGTGTATCTAGTTATTCTTTGCTGTCTCTGTATCTAGTTATTCTTTGCTGTCTGTGTATCTGGTTATTCTTTGCTGTCTGTGTATCTAGTTATTCTTTGCTGTCTGTGTATCTAGTTATTCTTTGCTCTCTGTGTATCTAGTTATTCTTTTCTGTCTGTGTATCTAGTTATTCTTTGCTGTCTTGCTGTCTCTGTATCTAGTTATTCTTTGCTGTCTGTGTGTATCTGGTTATTCTTTGCTGTCTCTGTATCTAGTTATTCTTTGCTGTCTGTGTGTATCTAGTTATTCTTTGCTGTCTGTGTATCTAGTTATTCTTTGCTGTCTCTGTATCTAGTTATTCTTTACTGTCTGTGTGTATCTAGTTATTCTTTGCTGTCTGTGTGTATCTAGTTATTCTTTGCTGTCTCTGTATCTAGTTATTCTTTGCTGTCTGTGTGTATCTAGTTATTCTTTGCTGTCTGTGTATCTAGTTATTCTTTGCTGTCTCTGTATCTAGTTATTCTTTGCTGTCTGTGTGTATCTAGTTATTCTTTGCTGTCTGTGTATCTAGTTATTCTTTGCTGTCTTTGTATCT